CATGCATGTAAACTCTATCAATACAATACATTTAACTTCTTTGTTTCTCCATCTTGACTTTATAAAAGTGTTATTGTATGAACAGAGCTAATTTTTACACACAGGCTTTGTTTTTGTGTATTGTTTGGACATTCCATAGGTTTCCATAGTTTTTATACTGTACAAAATGGATTTTCTACTGCCCTGTAGCTCGACGCTATTGCTTAACCCCACATTCTTTTACTTTCTGAAAAAAAAAAATTTAAGTTCTGTATGATTTATAACACTTTTGAAATATAAACCCAAGTGCAATGTCCTCAAAAGCCACCTTCTCTTGTAATTCCTGTCATGCCCATGTCATTTAACAATTCTGTGTCCTGACATGTCACATACTAACAAGTATTCACGCACACAAACATTCTAAAATGCACATATCTGGTAGTGTTGAATTTCCCAATATCACAAATCTTACCCAGAAGGCTAATAGATGGATGATGTACTTTGATTTAAAAGTAAAATAAAGAAGATAAATATATGTTTTTGTCTGTCAGCAGCCATCAGCCTGCATATAAGAAGTGTGTGTGCTGGCAATTTCTAAAACGTCAAAATGCTCATAAGTATTCAGCGAAACAACCTTGGCATTTCACCGGTTGTAGAACTTTTAACCGTTAATGAAACATCCTTCTGCATTCCCGATACAATCATTTCTCACCAAAGAAAATGTCAACATGCAGTGCTATCACAAGCAGCCACAACTCATTTGGATTCATGTCGGTTTGCTAACATTTTGATTGTAAGCCTTAAGTAAGCATGCATTTCAATGATTGCCTGATTTGTTTTAAGTATTGATTGGTTAAATATCAAAGCACACATGATCTGAGTTCTCATCCCCTGAGGGTTGCATGGCACTGCAAACATAAATTAGAAATAAAGTAAGAACTCTTATGTTCTTATCGCTTTAACAACTAATATACTGTTGATTTAAAAATACTGTATGTAGCTGATGTATAATGGCAGTGATTATATTTAAATTCTTGAAGTCTTGCATCATGCACTGCTATTTTTGTTTAAAATGCTCTATCAGAAAAAACACACCTTGCTAATAAACACTTATTAAATAAGAAAAATAAATTGAATCATGAGATTAATCTTATCTCTTTAATGTAGTCTCATCTGGCGAAAGCTTATCTTAAAGATGTGCTAAAAATGAATGGTGCTCATAAAGACAGGTTGAGGATTCTCACTTAACCCTTATGTACTGTTGGGGAGGTTTTTATCCACTCTGGTGTGATTTTGAGTCTTAATATAGCCAGAACCTTTTTTATGGTTCAGCTAGAAGAATGATTTTTTGTGTGACAAATCTTATTTTAACACATATTTTGAGAAAATGCTTTGAAATTTTTTGAAGAACTCAACGATACACTCTAGGCAAATATACTACCCTTTTGTTATGTTCAGGATGAAAACATCCAGTAAATTAAACTGCTGAAAAAATGCAACAGATAAATATTTTCTTTCTTTCTTTCTTTCTTTTTTTTTTTTTTTTTTTTGCATAAATCTGTTAATCAACCTCAGTCCTGATCAAAACTACTAAATTGCTTAGAAGATTGGAGGATTTTTACTCTTTAATTGGGAAATTCTTAAATGAAGTAACTGATTTGGTGAAAAAAAAAAACAAGAAGTGAAAAACACAATGACGTGTTTTCAATATAAAGAGTAATTGAGGACTAGATTTTTTTTTACCTTTTATCACAGTGTTGGACATGTGAAACAACATTGCCTTTGATGCATAGATTTTGATTGATTTTCAGTTTTTCTCCCTAATTTACTGTTAGGGGCTGTTTTGACTTCCATTATAACCACATTTTTTATTGCAAAACCATAACAATTAACATAATGATTGTTGGAGGTTTTCCCTTTTGGAAAGAGGTAAAATTGGTAATTTTTACTTTTGATCATCTGTTTGCACCGTTAACCTTTTAGCTAAGACTTTTATATGGAGTATAGCAGCAAATTAAAGTGTGTGTATGTGTATCAGTGAGTGCGTGAGAGTGTCCTTTACGCACTTACCTTGATGTGTTTGAGAAAATCAAACTATGCATCTCAGCTCTCAGAACTACACGGAGTCAATAAACACAAAGATTATATTTATGCAGCATCAGTTGTGGTTATAATGGGAGTCGATGGGGCAAAAACAGCCACCAACAGTAAATTAGAGAGAAAAAATGAAAATCTAACAATGCATCAAAGCCAATGTTGTTACTAATCATTCACATGTCCAAGACTTTAATAAAAGGTGAAAATAAATCCAATCCTTAACTACTATATTTATTGAAAACATGTAATTTTGTGTGCGTTTTTCATCAAATCAGTGACATTATTTGTGAAATTGGCAATTGAAGAGTTCAAATCCTGTCATTTAAAACATTTACTAGTTTTATACAGCACTGAAATTTAAAATATATATACAGTTGAAATCAGAATTATTAGCCCCCCTGAATTATTAGACCGCTTGTTTCTTTTTCCCCCAATTTTTGTTTAACGGAGAGCAGATTTTTTCAACACATTTCTAAACATAATAGTTTTAATAACTCATTTCTAATAATGGATTTATTTTATCTTTACCATGATGACTGTAAATAATATTTGACTAGATATTTTTCAAGACACTTCTATACAACTTAAAGTGACATTTAAAGGCTTAACTAGGTTAATTAACTAGGCAGTTTATGGTAATTAGGCAAGTTATTGTATAATGATGGTTTGTTCTGTAGACTATTGAAAAAAAAATAGCTTAAAGAGGCTAATAATTTTGTCCCTAAAATTGTCTTTAAAAAGTTAAAAACTGCTTTTATTTTTCCCAACATAAAACAAATAAGACTTTCTACAGAAGAAAAACATTATCAGACATACTGTGAAAATTTCCTTGCTTTGTTAACCATCGTTTGGAAAATATTTAAAAAAGAAGAAAAAAATTCAAAGGGGGCTAATAATTCTGACTTTAACTGTTTATATATATATATATATATATATATATATATATATATATATTCAATTTTTATGGACCATTTTAGGGACAAAATTATTAGCCCCTTTAAGCTATATTTTTTCTCGATAATGTACAGAACAAACCACTGTTATACAATAATTAGCCTAATTAATAGCCTAATAATTAGCCCCTAACCTGCCTGGTTAACTTAATTAACCTAGTTAAGCCTTTAAATGTCACTTTAAGCTGTATAGAAGTGTCTTGAAAAATATCTAGTCAAATATTATTTACAGTCATTATGGTAAAGATAAAATAAATCAGTTATTAGAAATGAGTTATTAAAATTATTATGTTTAGAAATGTGTTGAAAAAAATCTTCTCTCCGTTAAACAGAAATTGGGGAAAAAATAAACAAGCGGTCTAAAAATTAGGGGGGCTAATAATTCTGACTTCAACTGTATATATATATATATATATATATATATATATATATATATATATATATATATATATATATATATATATATATATATATATATGATGCATTTTTACAGCATTTTTATCCCAAACCTAACAAAAGGGTAGTAAATTTGAACAGTACACAAGGGTTTAATTGGAGTAGGAACAGTATTAATTCATCATATCTTAACAAGCAGATCATTTTTATTCAAGTTTGCACATAGCTCTCATAGTACTTCTAAACAAACCAAGACCTACAGATTATGCATAACCTTATGCCAGCTGATGATTTGAGAACTAGTAGTAATTGTCTCGAAATATATTGTTGAAAGCAATTCGTTTGTTACAAAAGCAGCGCTTTGATGAAAGACGTCAGTGCTTTAAAGGGGATGAATTAGACACAACTTCCTTTTAAGAGGGTAACAGCTTGCCTAAGCTGACAGGCACAAAGAAATAAGTTTTTGTCTTTTAATTTATCCTTTTAAAAGCATCTGCAGTACAAATATAAAAATTTAGAGACAAGTAACAGTCATTCCAATTAAAAATTTAATTTGCTTTGTTAGATTTTCCTTTTTTTGTCCCTGTTGTTTTGTTCTAATGTAAACATATTTTATTGTAGGTGAATTTGTTGATGTTTTAACACAATTGTTAGGTTCTTTTATACATTAAGGACACATTTAAAAGTCAGTCTCTTATACACGTCTTGTTTTTCCTGGGCAGTGCTGTATTTCATGGCTATTTATAATCTTATGACTTATGAATTAAGTTATGTTTATCCTGTATCTTACTTTTAGCGCTATTAGTAGCTTTATATAATGGGGAAAAAAGGTTGTAACCAATCATGTCATAGTATCATTTGAAGAACAAAATGTTATATCCCAATAAAATTTCCATATTGTTAGTGAAGGTGAGATCTGTGCCATCTGGCATTGCTATCAGAGTACATGAAGTCAGACACAAAAGCAATGTACTATTGTTATACCTCGATGAAAATATGAATAAACATTTAATAGTGTGTTGAAAATACCTTTTGTTCACCATATTTCTGTTCCTCCTCTTGTATGTTATGATTTTGCCAAGTACAATGCAATCCTGGATCTATGTTGAACCTAAAACATAATTTTTGTAAAAAAATGTAACCCATGCCTATTCCCTACACATAAACCCAACTATAACTGTAAAGTATTTACAAAATCAGAGGCGAATAATAGCAAATGATTGGATAAAATTCATGTAGACGTGCATAAACCTAGCCTAAGCCTAAACTTAACATATATGGTAAACGTATCCCGTAATTCTGATTGGCTGATTGGAATGTTGTACGATGATCAGCATAGATGTTAATCCAGGAACATGTCTTACTTGGTGAAATCAGGTTTGCGTCCCCCTCTTACAGTGATCTCAGTTGGCTAGATGTCTTGATGTTACTTGTTAAAAGCTATTCTTATTTGCATTTGAACAATTTAATCATTGTAATGTAGTTCAGATGAAATGCACTTCATATCATTAATGAAACTATTGTAATATAAATATATATTTTTTCCAATATTAACTTTGTTTTTTTTTTTTAAAGGTTCTTATTAAAGTGATCGACACCAACAACCATCGTCCCCAGTTTTCTAAACCAAAGTATGAAGTGGATGTCTCTGAGGACACCCCACCTGAGACTGAAGTGTTACGGATTACTGCTACAGACCAGGATGAGAAGAACAAGCTAACATACACCCTCCTCAGCAGCACTGACCCATTCAGTTTACGGAAGTTCAGGCTTGATCCCGGAACTGGGGTGTTGTACACAGCAGAGAGATTAGACCATGAGACCATGCACCAGCATACACTAACTGTCATGGTAAGATCATGTGGTCTGCCACCTTCTTTACAGCTTCATCTGTACAATTGATTTTTCTGTCTAAGTTAGAAATGTTCAGCCAGTCAGCCATCCATCACTGTAAACTATCCTGGCAGTTTGTTTTCCCTTTAATTCAATCGACATGGAGGCAGAACTCCTAAGGGCTTGCATCTAAAGTGTTTGATGTGTTTCACACACGCTGATAATTAAAGTCTTGAAATAACTGGAGAATTGCTTATATTCCCCCCTATTCTGCCTTCCTCGCTGCAGGTACGAGATCAAGATATCCCTGTGAAGAGGAACCTGGTGCGTGTGATTGTAAATGTGCAAGACACCAACGACAACGCACCTTGGTTCTCTGGTGCGCCGTATGTGGGCCGAGTGTTTGAGTCTGCTGCCACCGGCTCTGCAGTGCTTCAGGTCTCTGCTCTTGACAAGGACAAAGGCCAGAATGCTGAGATCATCTACAGCATTGAGTCAGGTAGTCCATCTGATTGATTTGATTGCTTTTGACTTTCATCCAGTTTATCCAGGAGACTACATGTTGCATATATTTATGAGATATATAAAAATGTCTGAACATGAAACCTTCAGAAACAGACCATAAGTTTCAAAGCCTGTCATGTCATCTTTGTTCGAACTTGGGATATCGGTGAGCCATGCAGCCTCTTAGAGTTAAAAATGTGGGAGATATTGAACATGGCAGCCAAGGGTCCTGCAGTTCACCAAACTGTGAGAGTTTTGAAAGACAGGCATAGCACAGAAATGACGCTGAGTAGCCTTTTGAGAATGCACATATTTGAAATGTCTGAGATTACAGAAGCTATTTGAAATGTGTTGTGAGTGTGAGAGAGATGGCAAACATTGTTCAGATCACATACTGAATGGCTGATGTTCGGGCTGCTGAATAGTCTATGGCAACATAGTCATGTTCTTTTTTTCCAGCTAACTGCAAACTAAAATATTCATTATAAATGAAGCAAACAGATTTGCACAAAAAAAGGATTTTGTCTAGTTTAATCAATTTATACAGGATTTTTGTTTACTTTAGTCTTTGAAAAAGCCAAGTTTGACACCAAAGATATAAAATAATGAGTTCTAAAGAGTTCTGAAGAGGAAAATCGAAACCGTTTTGCCTGTGTAATGCATCTTTGTCATCTTTCCTCCTTAGGAAACGTAGCCAATTCATTTGCCATTGATCCTGTCCTGGGAACCATCACTGTGGCAAAGGAGCTGGACCGTAACAACAAGAACAGATTTGAACTAACTGTGAAAGCCTCTGACAAAGGAACACCGCCACTTAGTGGTACAGCTGCTGTCGACATAACAGTCACTATTTCTGACAATGCCATCCCTAAATTTGCAGAGAAGGAGTTTTCTGCTGAAGTCAGCGAAACTGTTCTGCCTGGAGCCTTCGTAAGTCTGGTCACTGCCAACAGCCAATCATCAGTTTTCTATCAGATCAAAGATGGAAATGTGAATGGAGCATTTGACATCAACCCTAACTCTGGAGTTGTTGTTACCCATTCAGTTCTGGATTATGAGACCATTCCATCATACAAACTAACCATTCAGGGAACCAACATGGCCGGGCTGGCTAGTAACACTACTCTACTGATTCACTTAAAGGATGAAAATGATAATGCGCCTGTTTTTATTCAAGATCAATTTGCTGGAATGGTCAGTGAGTCTTCTCCAGTCAACAGTGTAGTCCTCACCAAAGACAACACACCTCTTGTCATCCGTGCTTTAGACACTGATCGTGATGCTAACTCGAGGCTTGTCTATCAGATTGTTGAGCCATTTGCCCATAATTACTTTGCCATTGACTCTAGCACTGGTGCAATCAGAACCATCAGTGAATTGGATTATGAACAGAGATCAGTGTTTCGCTTTTCAGTTCAAGTCCATGACATGGGAATTCCCCGTCATTTTGCAGAGAAGGCTGCTAATGTGACTATTGAGATTCTGGACGTTAATGATTGCCCACCTCAGTTCAGCCAAGATCTATATGAAACAACAGTCTTAGTGCCAACTTACAAAGGAGTTGAAGTGATCACAGTCAATGCCTCAGATGCAGACTCGGGTCCAAATTCAAGGCTTTTTTACTCTATTGTTGAAGGCAATATTGGAGAGAAGTTTAAAATGGACCCGGTCACAGGGGTTATCACTATTCAAAATGTCACTCAGCTCAGAAGCAGGTATGAGCTCAGAGTGAGGGTGTCTGATGGCAGGTTTTCTAAAACATCCTTAGTGAAAATAAATGTCAGAGAGAATAAGGAGAGTACTCTTCGGTTCACCCAAGAATCATACAAGGCATTCGTGCCAGAAAATTCCTCAGAGAAGAAGACTTTAGCTGTAATTGCGGCAGTGGGAAACCAAGTCAATGAACCTTTGTTTTATACCATTCTGAATCCTGATAAGAGATTTACAATAAGCCGAACTTCAGGAGTACTCTCCTCTACAGGCACACCTTTTGATAGAGAAGAGCAAGGTGTATTTGATATTGTGGTGGAGGTGACCAGAGATGACAAGTCACCTGATGTAGCCCATGTCCTCGTCACTGTGATAATTGAGGATGTCAATGACAACCCACCTGTGTTTGTCAATTTACCTTATCAGGCACTAGTGCAAGTTGATGCAGATGTGGACCACATCATCACCAAGGTGACAGCTGTTGATGCTGATATTAATGAAAATGCTGAGATCAACTACCACCTTCAGGAGTTGAATGAGTTTGTTCAGATCAGCACAGATGGTGAAATCTCACTTACAAAGAAGCTTGACAAAGACTCAGTTAACACTGAATTTATCATCACAGTTGTAGCCAGAGATGGAGGTGAACCGGCACTTTCCTCATCTGTTGAAGTCCCAATATTGGTTGTAAACAAAGCTATGCCTGTGTTTGAGAAAGCATTCTACAGTCTGGAAATTCCAGAGAACATACAGCTACTAACACCTATTGTACACATCCAGGCTAATGACTCCGAAGGGCCTAGAATTGTTTACACGATCACAGAAGGGGACCCTCTCAATCAGTTCACTATCAACTTCAATACTGGTGTGATCCAGGTTGTAAAAACTTTGGATTTTGAGACCCACCCAGCCTATAAACTTAGTGTGAGGGCCACTGACTCGCTAACTGGTGCCAAAGCTGAAGTGTTTGTTGACATAATCTTGGAAGATGTTAATGACAACCCACCTGTGTTCCATACCAAACTGTACAATGCAAGTCTTTCGGAAGCATCAGTGATAGGGACATCCGTATTAGAAGTCTCAGCGACAGATGCTGACACTGGTAACAACAAAGTGCTCTTTTACCAGATTGTTGAAGATAAAGATAAGAGCTTTGATTACTTTAGCATCGACCGTGACACAGGCACAATCTGGACAACTCGGATGCTTGACCATGAAGAAAAACCTTCACATAGGCTGTTAATTAGAGCAGTGGATGGTGGTGTGCCTGCTCTTTCAAGTGAAGTTATGGTGTTAATTGATGTAATGGACCTTAACGACAACACTCCAGTGTTCTCCCAGAATGTCTATGAAGCTACAGTGAGTGAACTAGCACCCCGTGGCCACTTTGTCACCCAAGTACAGGCTTCCGATGCTGACATCTCTGATAGTGGAAAACTTGAATTTTCAATTTTGTCTGGAAATGAAGGACAAAACTTTGCAATGGATCCAAACACTGGGGCTTTAGTCATATCAAATCATCGTAAACCTCATATGGAATCTCTCTACAATATCAATGTGTCTGTATCAGATGGTGTATTTAGAAGTTCAGCCATCGTGAAAGTCAATGTTATAAGTGCCAACTTCCACAATCCTACCTTCAACCAGGTGGATTATGTGGTCGAGCTTCTTGAAAACTCACCTGTTGGAACACTGGTGGCTGAAGCCCAAGCGACAGATGATGACTCAGGAACATATGGAAGACTTACCTACCATATAGTCAATGACATTGCTAAAGACAAGTTTTCAATCTCTGAGAATGGAGAGATTTTTACTTTGGAAAGTCTTGACCGTGAGAACGCATTGGAGAAAGTGATTCCGATCTCTTTGATTGCTAAAGACGGTGGTGGCAAAGTTGGCTTCTGCACTGTGAATGTGATCTTAACAGATATTAATGATAATGCCCCACAGTTCAGAGCTGCTGATTACAGAGTTAATGTTGCGTCTGATGTGTCAAGAGGAACAACCATACTTAAGATTGCAGCATCAGACATGGATGAAGGAAGTAATGCAGATATCACCTATTCTATTGAAACTGATGCAGACAATGTTGAGGAGAACTTTGAAATCCACCAGTTCAGTGGTGTCATTGTAACAAAGGAAAGCCTCATTGGATTGGAGAACCAAATGTACACATTTCTTGTACGAGCAAAAGATGGTGGAAATCCCACAAAGTCTTCTGTTGTTCCTGTCTACGTCAAAATTCTTGCTCCTGAGGTCCCAGTGCCAAAGTTCATAGAGTCCCACTACAGATTTGCCATAGAAGAAGACCTTTCTCTTGGTTCAGAAATAGATGTTATTCAGGCCGAAAGTGATCAGCCAGTCTTTTATAGCCTGGTGAAAGGGAATACTCCTGAGAGCAACCAGGATGAGGTATTTGTCGTTGACCCCAGTTCAGGATCTTTAAAGCTGGACAAGAAGCTTGACCATGAGAGCACCAAATGGTATCAGCTAACTCTACAAGCCCAAAGTGAATATGAGGGAAGCAAAGTTGTCTCCGCTGTGGACATTAGCATTCAGGTCAAGGATGTCAATGATAATCGACCTCTCTTTGAGTCAAACCCTTATGAAGCTTTTGTTGTGGAAAATCTCCCAGGAGGCACCTCTGTTATACAGGTAAAGGCCACAGATCTGGACTCGGGCACTAATGGTCATGTGGTTTACAATTTAGATCCCAACCAAGAGACAAGGGACATTGTAGAGTTGTTTGCCATAAACAGTGAATCCGGTTGGATTACCACATTAAAGGAACTTGACCGTGAGACGAGAAATAAATACACAGTTTCAGTTTTGGCTACCGACCGTGGAGACAAAGTTCAGCTGATGGCTAGTACCAGGGTGGATGTCACAGTGGTAGATGTGAATGACAACCCACCGAAGTTCACAGCAGAGATCTACAAGGGCACAGTAAGCGAAGATGACCCACCTGGTGGAGTCATTGCTATTCTTAGCACTACAGACCTGGACACAGAGGAGAATAACAAGCAAATCAGCTACTTCATTACAGGTAACACACTTCTTGTTTAATTTAAGCCATTATCATTTAATGGGAATTATAAGTAATGGTTTAATTTCAGTTTTATGATGGAATAATTTGTTCATGTTTTAGAAATGAGCAATTTGTGGGGATGTAATTATGTTGGCCTAAGTAAGCCAACATATTGTTATGCCACTTAAACGTATTATTGTTCTTTTTTTCTGAGCAAAAAATTTACCAACCCCTTCTTGTCCTAGGGCTTTAATCCTAAGACCACCAAACTTCGACCAGGCCTTTAGACTAGTCTGACTCAAGTTACTTTATGTTTTTAAACTGATCTGGCTTTGAGTTTTCCAGAAACTGACCCGGAAACTCTGAAAAATCCCATTGACCTAATATTGGACCAAACTTTTTTGACCAAAGAAATTTTAGAAACATGTGATCTTCCACAATTTAAGAGGCTGCCAGACTGTATTAATCTACATATTAAACTGGGGTGTAAGTTGTACCTCTGGGGTGCTAGAGTGCCCCAATGTTTTCCATTGACTTACAATGGTGAAAAAACTTTCATTTAAAACATAGGGACTTCAAATCCCATTGACTTAACATTGGACCAAACTCACAGGCTCTTTACATTAAACCTTCAAGGAACTTTAGATTCTTTTTCTAAACTATTCTTTAATGTGTGTTAAAAATAATTTTTGCTTAAAGAATGTATAGACATTCTAAATAGGAAATGTTATTATTTTCCCAATGTCGTTTCTGAAAACCAAGCGGGAATATTTCAGCTCTGGTGATAATTAATTAGCATGAACGTTGATGCCAAGCAGGAGATGGGATGAGCATTTCTTGGCACAGAAAACAGTCTAATTACATCCAGTCATCTTCACATGACCGTAGAGTGATGACAGAAATTGGCATAGCAAGTCACACTGCCACTTATTTACATATGTGTTAATAATGTGAAATCCAACCAAACAAGAATCAAAGCTTCTGGAGAAGTCATTGCACAGATGTGAAACCTGTGAATTATGAACACAGATTGATCCTTTACTATAGCTTCTAAGCACACAACAGGAAACCACACAAATATAGAGGCATTTTAACAGCCGTTTATGTTCATTAGTTTGACTGGCATTTCTCATGTTTGCTCTCTAAAGGTGGAGACCCCTTGGGACAGTTTGCCATTGAGCATACTCAAGGCGAGTGGAAGGTTTCAGTGCGGAAACCACTCGATAGGGAGGAGAAGGACAATTACTTGCTGAACATTACAGCCACTGATGGGACCTTCACAGCCAAGGCCGTGGTTGAAGTCAAGGTCTTGGATGCCAATGACAACAGCCCAATTTGTGAGAAGGTATGATGTTAGTTTTGTGGGGATGTGTGTGTGGGAAGTGCATTGCAGCAAAATGTCATGTAGTCTGATTCTGTCTGTTAAGGGGAGGGCTCTGCCTACCCGCTGTGCATGCTAAATGGGACGAGACTTAGAGAGAAAGAGAGAATGTCAGGAGGGATTTGAAAAGGTCCTTATGTGAAATGCAGCATTTAAGAAACAAAGAGGGTGATTTTGTTCTGTGAGAGGGTTTTGTGAGGACTAATGTGCTTCTGTTACTCATTGTGTTTCATTTTGAATAATGTTAATTTAATAGAACTCCCGCGGTGAAAATCTTTTAGCCAGTTTGGCTTCAGAATTGCCACCAAACTCTTCCTTAATGCTTTCGTTTCTCTCTTTTGGCCCTGTCACCCTATTTGTGAAGTGGTTTCACATGTTTCTCTGTCTGTTCTTTCCAGTCATTTTATATGGAAAGCGTCCCTGAGGATTCCCCTGCCGGCAGGCTCATACTGCAAGTCTCCGCCACAGATGCTGACATCCGTTCCAACGCTCAGATCTCCTACGAGCTGCTGGGGCCTGGATCAGAGCACTTTAGCATCGACTCAGAGACAGGTATATATTAAAGTTCACATGTGATCCATATTACAATATTTTTTAAATTGCATATGGGTATTTTATTGTGTTCCCATGCAAGCTTGTGTTCCCTATTGAATATCTGTATTATGAGCTGTGTCAATCCTACAGTATTTTGTGAATTATATAATGGCTTATATTAATATATTAATATTAATATTAATATTATATAATTACAATTTATCCAATTTACAAATAAGTGTTTTTAATGTGAATATTATGCAAGGTCCGCCAAGAAAGGAGCTTTCCTTTCACAGTGTTAGATCACAGTCTCCACACCAGATAAATATGATCCAGCCCCGGACGCCAGATCTTGTCACGAAATGTTAGTTTCTCCAGGTATTTGGACAACAAGTCTGCAAAGTTTCCAATACCCAAACCTGTTAACCAGTATTCAGCTGAATTAGCAGTCTACTATCAATATAGGAGTCGACTGTGGAAGGAAGTCAGAGAAGAGCAGAAGCAGGAGACGAAGTGATGATAATAAAAGAGCAGGGTTTATTGAATAATCATTGTTGGGTGTGTTTCGGTGTGCTCTCATACTTCGTCTGAACAGCACAAACAAAACAGATGTTATTATACATCAGGCCACAAGACCTTGAATTAGAGACATACCCTCAAATCTCATATCAGTGCAGAGGAACATCAAATTATTACTAAGCAATGGAAAAAGCCCTAAAAGCAGGACAAGTAATAAGAAATACATAAAATAAAGAAATCAAATCAATAAATGATAAGTGTAATAAATGATAGACATAAAAAATATGACTCTAATAAATGGATGATTAAATGAATAACTATTTTTTTAATGATTAAATAACCATAACTGAAATTATCAATGCAAAGCAAATAATTGAAAAAACTAAAGCAAAACATAATAGAATATAGAATTGATTCCATTTAAAACACACATGGGTCATTACAAATTTCAGATTCTACAACAGTATTACTTTTTTATTGCATTTTTTATTAAATAAATGCAGCCTAATGTGCATAAGAGACTTTTTTCTGAAACATTTTTAAAGGGGTGGCCCACTCTGATATCATATTTTAAACTTTAGTTGATATGTAATGTAGATGTGTGAACATAACATCTCTGTGAGAAACAACATCTCTGAATGTAATATGCTCAAAGTTCAACAATGGGAAATGCTCTTTGGCACCACAAAAATTTAGCTACAAATTCATATTTATCAGTCAAACTGCTGTACACATCCACAATCTTCAGCAGCGCGTGCAGTGTCTCTCTATGCGGACGCTTTCCGTGTTTCTCTATGCGGAATGTTTTCCGTGCATTCTACATCTCAGGGTGCATTCACACCTAGACTTTTGTTTCGGAACCTGTCTCATTTGCCTAGTTAGTGCACTTTGTTTGGCATATGTTAATCCAGCAATCGTGCTCGGATCTGCGCCAAATCAATCGGTCCGAGATCACCTGAATAAGGTGGTCTCGCCTCAATTGAAACAAACTCGGGAGCGAGCGATTGTAGTGAAAAAGCGATACAATCCGAGCCCGGCTATATCACAGTGTATTATGGATATGTCATAGGCATATATACGGCTATATAAAGAGAGAGTTATGAGTAGGGCAGGTAAATGTGCGTTTCATGTAAAAGCCTATAATGCATAAGCCAACTGCTATGTATGAGAAAGTGTTATCTCTGATTTATACTTGGTGACGATGTCTGTAGGTGTCACTATTCAAAATGAAACCGCAGCTTTTCACTTATGATGTATTTATTGCTCATCATCATAAGTTAAAATAAGGACGCATGACAGCTGAGAGGGACTCTGACCAAACTCTGACCAATGTGAGGAGAGTTTACTCGCACGTGACTTGTTTTAGCTCTTTTGGTCTGTTTAGAAACTTTGCCGTGTGAAAGCAAACCGCACCAAGAACAAAGAGCAACATTATAACAATTTTAACCCATTTCGGAACAAATGAATCGATTCCCAGGTGTGAAAGCACCCTCAAATAACAAAATTGCAAAAGATATGAGAACGTTTTATATTACTTACACATGCTTATAACCCGAATATATGTGAAAGACACTTTTCAGATTGCTTATAGGGGCGTGAGGTGGAGCCAATTCGCAAATGACAGCACATTATGTTAGCTGACCAATCAGAGCCTCTTGAGAGTGGGCCTTTCAGAGGAACTAGGAAATATGACAGTCGGTTTCATGTTAGCCGAGTAGCTGTATATAATCAATGTAAGATATATGAAAAAATAATTTGATTTTCTACAAGTGAGGCATGAGCACACATTGCTTTGAATTTTATAAATACAACCAAGCCTTTAAAATACATTGTAGTTTTAAACTGTTGTATGAAAAAGCCAGATTAAATACGCAACATACACACAGAACATTTTCAACATCATTTGCTTTTGCCTGCAGTCAAACACCCATCCCATTTAAAACCATAATTTCTAATTTAATTACTTAAATAATTCCAGGGAAGGATGTACACCCTTGGGCTTTTATTACGATTTTATAGTGAACAACGCTGAATTCTTTCACTCATATTTTTTCTATTCATTTTTTTTTTCACTCGTCTTTTTTATTCAGACAAATGTAGTCGTACAAAAGATTTTAATAAATCATTTCAGCAAGTGTTGGCCCATTTCAGCTATTAACCCTAGTCAGCTGTCTTTCATCTGTGAATGAACCATTGGTTCCAGGCAGAAAGAGAGCAGAAATCAACAGTGGGTTGGTGACAACGTCACACTGCTACAACACAAAAGCTATTGTAAAGGCGCTACTCACTGGCTCTTTGATAGCACCAAGTGTGAAGGCAGGGAATGCTGGCTCGTAAACTGAAGGAGCGCTACTGTTCTTCTGTGTGGGTTTAGTGTGCACGGAGGATTTTCTTCACTTTTTTCCTCTGTTCGGTCGTGGAAAAGAAGAGAAGCATTATTGCAAGTTAGCGGTGCCAAGAGTGCTCTCGTGCGCGCCAACCAGACCCCTGAAAGCTGGCGGCTGCTTTTCTGTGTGACTTTCCCTTCCTCCTTTTCTCTGCTCACTCTCTGAGCAGCCCACATGCCAACTGCACTTTATCCTCCCTTGCTATTTCTCTCATTTCTCACCATCCCTCCCTTCTTTAATCTTTTCGATTTCTTAAAGCCGCTCAGCGCAAGGATGAGTTGAGCTCTTTTCGAGGGGGGAATTTCGGACACCCTGCATTCATTCCTCCTTGAGATGCGGACCCAGATAAAAGGTCGACACCAAACAGATGGCACACAAAAAGGGCAGTTTTAAATCAGCGACCTCTCCAGTGTAACATAGCTTGCTAAAATTGTTAGGCTCAGATTATGTATTCATGAAAGAGACGATTGTTTCTGTCGTGTGCTGCTTTGCTTTTTAGAGGGTCCTCTTGGCTTGACCAGTGAGATGGTTTGAAGTGTTATTGGATTGTGTGTTGTTCATTAGTTCAGTGCCAGTCGATGTTCACAGTGATTGATGAAGAGTGAAATTTAAGGTTGTTTTTTAAGCAAGAGACAGCTTTTATAAATCTACAGAAAGCAGATTGCAGACATGAAGATTGAGAGAGCAGTGAACACTTTTTTTTTCGTGGTAGCAGCAACAGGTGGCCTAGAAAAAGGTTTGACCTAATTTATAGAACATTGCAAGAGTTGGTTCTCCCAAAAATGACAAATTAATCTTATAATTAAATAATAAAAATAATATAATCCTAGCAGGCACAGGACGTCAATATGATGTCAGATTGACGTTGTACTCCAACATAGGGGATGTTGCATTTTGTTTAAAAATAAAAATCTGGTTGAACTCAATGTCAGATCGACGTCAATGTCCAACCTAAAATCAACCAAATATCTACGTCTAATAATGTTGCAGCAGGGCGACAAAAGACAAAAGTATGGATCCAGAGGTGCTCTGTGGGACTCGAAACCCACATCACAAACTTTACTTCTCTCCCATGACCCTCAGCCCCTCCCACATTTATCAATGCTTTCTAGACAACCAATCACAGCTCTTGCTCTTATTGGTAGTTAATTACTTAACTTTTTTTAGATTGGCAAGTCAGGATCTGTGTCAGGGAACAGCAAATGCTATGTGACTCTGCAAACATCTATGACAGACCTATTGTGTGGACTCAACACAGAACTATACACCTTTAGCATTATTGTTGCAATTGGTTTTGGCAGAAATGCATAAAAAGTACATGGAACAATTTTTTTATCCCTTGTGACATTCTTGACAACTGTTTGGACACAGTGTAAAGTGTGGTGTTGTTTTATCAGGTGAATTGAAAACACTGCTTCCTCTGGATCGTGAGGAAGAGGAGGTGCACAAGATGAAGGTGCGTGCTCTGGACGGAGGCGGACGCTTTTGTGAAGCAGAAGTTGAAATCACAGTCGAAGATGTAAACGACAACCCTCCGCAGTTTACCACTGACCCCTACACCTTCACTGTATTCGAGAACACTGAGATAAACACACCAGTGGCTCGCCTGTACGCCTCTGACCTGGACACAGGTAAGAGCTCCAGTTTACAGAACAATAACTTATATTTACGTTCAATGTATCAGCTGGCAGACAACTTTCCCAAAGCAACATGCATTTCATTTCTGGTATATATTTACATTTGATAATTTTTGATGTCCATGGATAATCCACGACTAAGGCCAGACAGAAGAAAAAGAAATATAATATAGTACGAACTATAAATAATGAAATAATAAAGATACAATAATTTTAAAATAAACTATTACATTTTTTTTAAGTTTAAAATGCTAATTCAATCAGTAAGAACTACATGTTTGGTAAACAAAACGACAGAAGTTCTCTTATATAATCTAAAAACATCCAAAAAACTATTGCTATCAAAATATAAATTCACACTTTTATTGTACACAAATTATTGTCTCATTTAACAATCCATTTATGTATATTAGGATTTTTTTAACCACTTTATTCTAATTCCTCAATATTACTAAGGCAAATAGTTTGAATTGTCAAAAACCAAAACATTTAAACATAATATCTGATCTCTTTAAAATACAATAAACATGAGTGTTAAAAAGACTCTTACACTTGAAAAATAAAATGTCGCAAAGTGTAAGAGTCCTTTTAACACTCAAGTTTATTTTATTATAAAGATATGAGATATTTTGTTTATATTTTGTGTGGTTTTCTTTATTTGCGCTCGCGCTCCCCTGCCCGCCAATCTTTGTGACCATCACCCGTTTTCTCAAGAGGATGATAATCAGACAAGCCATTGCTGCAGCTTCGATACAAGTTTCTGGAGAAAGTTACAAAAGCACTGCAGTGTTTGGGTATGCTGTGCTTGTCTGAGGTAATTAGTCTGCCATTATTACAAAAATGTGTATATTCCATACAAAGTGTGAAGAAGATTTGGTTAGTTCTACGTACATGAATCATGGAGCGCTTGTGGCATGACACTCTAAGCTGACACACTAAGCCTACGAATACTGTAGTAAAGCTTTCTCAGCAGCTACACTTTAATAAAACTAAAGCGCTTCATACCAAACTTTTTATATCAAAATTAGGGGTGTCAAAATTAATCGTTTCTTCGGTGCACTGCGATGCACACGCGGACAATTCGGTATCGGTTCAGTAATAATCATAACCGGTTATTACTGACGTCATTTACCTCATATGCGCTCTGTCGCGAGGGAGGCGATCGCGAGTATTTACAGCGCTTTAACTACTTAAAACTCCTAAAGTGTGCACAATTTCACTGTGTGTGTTTGCTGGATCAGTCTTTCACTGACAAATACAACAAGAGCCCCTATTTCACCGAGATAGAGAGAATGAAAGTAGCCTACTCCATTTCTCTCTCTCTCTCTCTCTCTCTCTCGCTCTCGCTCTGTCTCTCTCTCTCTCTTTCTCACACACACAGCTTTACTTTTGCATACAGAAATGAGCGCGTGTCTGCAGAGTTTTCTCAACCGTGTCTATCATACATCAGCTGTGAGATCGCCGCTGCCGCCTGCCGCTTATCAGTATCACTCATCTGTGAAGAGCGCAGTGCGCAAGAGCCAATCGCAACCGTTTTTTTTTTTTGAGGGTGTGACCAATCAAAGGGGTGTAAGAGAACTAGACAAGGATCAGAAATTGAGCTGGATATTTATATTTGTTTATATTATTTGCTAAATGCCCGTTTTGTTTAAAGTTATAGTTTATATATCTGACTGTTTGTATTAAATGACAAAATTGCAAATTTTGTATATAAATATAAATATATTCATACATTTTAATACAAGAACTGCTGCTGTGAAGAAAATATAAAACTGTGTATGGAAAGCACCGTCAATGCACCGTGATGCACCGAAATATCGAATTGAACCGAATCGATGGCATGATAATCGTAACCGAACCAAACCGTGAGACTAGTGTAGGTTCACAGCTCTAATCAAAATTGACAATTAGTATTAGGTCAAGAAATACCGATACTGATTTTATCGCCCAGCCCTGATAAGTAAATTCGTAAGCCCTAACTCATTCATGTGGAGCTAGTTTCCTGCAAAGTTTAGTTTCAACCCCAATCAAACACACCTGAGCTAGCTAATCAAGCTCTTACTAAGCTTTCTAGAAACTGGATTTTTGCAGGCACAGATTCCATGTGGGCCTACCCATGACCTTACTTTTGCAAGTGTAACTCTCTAGTTCTACTCGCCCTTGTCCAAACCGTATTCAAACCAAATTTTTTAGCATGGAAAACAATGACTGTTGTGTTTAAATGCAAGTGTGTTTTCCAAGATATTCTCCAATTTTGCAACAGTGTGACCCGCTGGTGTCCATCTGTTGTGTTATTACTTTTGAGAGGAAACCAACACGCACATATGATGTTCTCAGTCAACCGGAGCAGCACCTTTAATCTAAGCGAACACAAACTGATATGTCTTTCTCTCTCTGTCATTCACTGAAATCACTCCAGTTTCCATTTGCATGCTTTCCTGTCATATCCTTTTGTTCTGTTCTCTCTATCCTGAAACAGATGCATTGTGTGCTCTGTGTACTCTCCAGTCTATATTCCACTTAAGCCAAGCCTAGATGCAACCAATCTTTTATTCTTACCTTACATTTTAGCCTCAATGCCAGTACTTTCAAAGCATTAGTCACATCTTTTAACTGCTCATACAAAGCACTTAGCACTATAGACTTCAAAATGAACTATATTCATTGATCAATAAACTGGCCTTGTATTGAACTGTCATGAACAACTGCTTTCTAGTAATTTGGCTTGAGTAAAACTTTGTAAAGATTGCGTTAACTGGCTGTTATGAGAAAGTGTGTCTTGGCAGATAGGATTGTACTCGCAAGCCACAAATGAGGCTTAGTCAAAAAAATGCATTAGAGGGATTAAGTGTGCTCTATCTTCATCTTATTTGTTAGTGTCCGTGCCTTCCCCAATACAAGAAGTATCACTCCCTCACGCTTGTTAATATGCAGTAAAGAAAACAGAGGGTTTCTCTATTGAGTCCTTTATAGGATTAATTTATTACTCGTTATATTTTACTAAATGAGACAGAGACACAGTAGAAGTACTTTTTTTGCAAATCATTACGACTGCTTTAGGCTTTGTCGCTGATATGGAAGCTTTTTAATATGTAAAATGTATTGATTTGTTTGCAGTCTTTATGGATTGGCTTTCTTAGTAAGAAATATGATGCAATATGATGCAACCACAGGTCAGGAAAACACTCACAAATCGGTTTCAATTGTACATTAAATACCGGAATAACTGACAAATGAGCTGCTGATGCTTTGTTATTTACACCACCATTCAAACTTTGGCTTTTATTTTAGACAGTTAAAGGGGCATTAAAAATTTTAAATAAATGTCATTAATCGAACTTAATATTCATCACAAAGTTTTAAACACGCATCAGGGTTTTCTGCACAACCCTTTCAGCTGATAATGAAAATAAGACGGTTCTGAATCAGAATGTTAGAGTGATTGCAATTAAAATGTTACAATAGAGACCTAGACATGTCCAATTGACTTTTTTGTTTGACTGCTATACTCCAAAAATGCTGCTTAGCTTTACAAAAAGTGTAAAAAAAAAAATTTATATTTGTAAATTTTGACTGCCATTTTTGTGTACATTTTTGACATTGATGCATAAGGGATGAAGGCGTTCACCAAAAATAGAAAATTTACTTACCATCTACTCAGACTCAGGTGGTTCTAAATTTTTATAAATTTTCTTCTGTTGAAAACAAAACCAGATATTCTGATAAATGTTGGGGGAAAAAACAGCCAAGTCAATGGCTGCTTTTTTACAACATTCTTCATTACATGTATATATTTCTTTGTGCTATACAAGAAAGAAGATCAAACAAGTCTGGAACAAGTGGAGAGATATAAAATGATGGCAGAATTAAATGTTTTGATAAACTGTCTCTTTAAGAATGTGTCAGATAATCAGAATCTTCAAATCAACAAATTCTTCCAATCCTAATTCTATTTTTTTAACCCTGCCCTTTGGCCCTTGACAGAGTGTTTAAGTGTCAGATCAGAATGGTGTAGGACTACTACACAGGAGTTATAATTATGGATTAGCAAAATCTAGCAATTAAAAAAATAAATTAAAGCATGACAGTAAAACAAACACCATTATAATGTATTAATACATATGGTTGTTTGTTGTATACATTTTTAATTATACCAAAAAATACTTAAATTCGTGCATTTCCTGACTCATGTGTACAGCCATGTTGCAACTGCACCTGGCGTATTCTGAGAAATTTTTATACCCCTTGGTTTCTATTGCGGTGCTGGATAATCTCTGCTTCAAGCGCTATTTAACCCTTCCCCTAGCCCTACACCTTCAAGCTAAGGAGAATTGGGACAACCCTACCCCTTCACATAAGGGACAGGGCTAAGGGGTAGGATAGGGATTGGACCTATAATTGATCTATTTTCGAGATAGTAGTCAAAAAAACAGAAATCGTATTCATTATAAATTGTACACTTACACACATCTTAAATGTCTGTATTAATCTCACTCTGCTTTGTGTGTTTTAGGTGCTAATGCAGAGATCCTGTACTCTCTGTTGGACTCTGCTGATGGTGTGTTCTCCATCGAGGAGGAGACGGGTGTTGTGCGACTGGATCGTCCTCTGGACAGGGAGCTTCAGTCGCTTTACACTCTTCGAGCCCAAGCCACAGACCGTGGGTCACCACGGCACCTTTCGTCCCACACCACTGTCAGTGTCTCCATCTTAGACATCAACGACAATCCTCCAGTGTTCGAGCGTCGTGAATACACCGCCACTGTCGCTGAAGACATCCCTGTGGGCACTCAGGTGTTACGGATTCATGCTGCCAGCCGAGACACAGAAGCAGGAACAGAGATCACATATGCTATTATTAATGGAAATGAGAGGGGAGCGTTCCGCGTCGACCCACAAACAGGTAAACACAGTGGCTTTGGGGAAACCACTCAGATCCTTACAGCGCTGCAGCATTCAAATAGTCAAAATAAGAAACATACAACTGCAGAAAATGTTGTATTGTTTTTGTGCTCCTTTTTTTATTCAATCATAATTAATTTTTATTAATAAATAAAATTTTATCCATTCATTTTAATAATTTCTTGATTTTATCCATTTTATTTTTATCTCTTTCATTCTTCTTTCTTTCCTTTTTCATTTTATGCATTTATTTTTGATATATTTAGTTATTTATTTATGCATTTTTTACCTATTTATGCATTTGTATCCATTTAGTAATTAATTTGTTTATCAATTATTCATATGTTCATTAATTTATCAATTTATTTTATACATTGCTGTTTTTACTAAACACTTTACCTACTTTTGCTGAACTTTTTCCTAATTTATTAATTTTATCCATTAATTTATCATTTATTTGTTTGTTGATAAGTTGATGCATTATGTGTAATTATTAAATTCATTTATTTATTCTTCTACTTTAATTCACTCTTTTTTTTATTTAATAAAATGAGTGAATTAAAGTAGAGGAATAAATTAATGAATTTAATTTACCCTTTTTTCAGTTTATTGCTTTAATTATTTAGCAAATAAATATGAATGGATTTAGAGAGATTTTTTTTCTAGCCAAATTTTACATTGCCCTGTCTTTCCTAGGTGGTGTGTTTGTGATCGAGCCATTGGATTACGAAACGGCACATGAATTTTATCTGACAGTGGAGGCAACAGATGGAGGCACACCATCACTCAGCGACCTGGCCACTGTGAACATCAACCTGACCGATGTTAACGACAACAGCCCTGTCTTCAACCAAGACATCTACTCCGCAGTGATCAGCGAAGACGCAGAGCTGGGAAAAACAGTGCTTACTGTAAGTCTTTGGCTCATGATTTTATTCTGCCTTCAACAGTGTTATATTCTCTATTAAAGATCCCCTAAACTGCCATCAAATGTGCAGTTTTGTTTAATGCATAACGGAATTTCAACTGAAATGCAAAGATAGGGCGGGGCATATAAAAGCCCCCCTCCTTAAAAATTAGCCAATATTACTTTGTCAGTCAGAGTCCAAGACATATTGTTAATAACAAACAAAAAACTTGAATCCTGTTTTCAAGGGGACATTAAAATCAACACAAATAGTGCACACGATAAACAAACACAGTCCAATGTCAAAACTAGAGCCTTCTGGAGCCAATCTTTAATCTGTAGTCTCTATCTCGCTCTCGCTCTGGTCATTTATTAGAGATGTTCATGTCTTATCATGCCTGAATATAAATTGTCAGTGTTAAAATTGAGGCTTTGATACCCAGCTCTGTTTCACTTGCTTGCCTTCTGATTTCCCTCGAGGGTCTCAGCCAATAGTTACTGACTCACGAAGCAAGAAGGACGAGGGGGGTGGGGTGGGGTTGCTGCATACCTGAGTCCAGGGCAATCTTTATCTTAACCAGGTGTGTGTTTCTCTGTGTGTGAAGGTCATGGCCGACGATGCAGATGGTCCATCCAGTAATCAGGTGCGCTTCTCCATCATTGATGGGAATCAAGGCAGTCCATTCACTATCGACCCCGTCAGAGGAGAGGTCAAGGTGGCCCGGCTGCTCGACAGAGAGAAGGTATAAGACACTCTAGGATCTCAGTAGAGGTTGTGCTGACAGGCTGTTGCTGAAACTGAATGATGACATTTTGTTTTGTTTGTTTGTTAGACTTCAGGTTACACGCTGACCGTGTTGGCCTCTGACAATGGAAGCCCGGCTCGATCCAGCAGCGCTACCATCAACGTAGATGTCTCGGACATCAATGATAATCCACCTATCTTCTCTCAAGCCAACTACAGCATCATTATTCAGGTCTGAGTTCACAGAGAAGATGAAGTGATTCTAGTCTCAGTGATTTCATTCTAATGCTGGTTTGTCTTAGTGAAGACCAGTTATGCTGAGTTATAGTCATGGTTAAGGGTCACTAAACACCATTTATTTGATTCATTTTAAATAGGGGGTGTTCACAAAAGATTATTCTGTTTAAAAAATGCTGAGTAAAGTATCAGAAATCTTAATACCGGCCTGTTGTAATGAAGGTTGAATCCAAATACAGCTTTATTTAGAACAGTCAGGCAAGCAAGGTTCAAAACAGGAGCAGATGGTAGCATTAAAAAAATTTAAAAGAGTAGTCGATGTAACAGGTGTAAAGGTCAAAGCAGGCTGAAAAACAAACATAAACAGTATAAACAAAAAGTCTAACATGGAGGCAAGGAAAACACTTATTATCTCAGCAATAATATTAATGTGTGTGGTGTGAATGGGCTAAAGTGGGCTTGACAAACCACCTGTAATAACACTCTGTTCTCTCTTATGCACCTGACACTTTATCTAAACTCAATCTTACAAAAACTTTATAATGAAAACGGTGTATACTATAAATATACCACAATCATGATGCACTGTTTGCTTCAACCTTAAATAACTTTTGCATAATCGTAAACCCTTAATACCTCTCTTGCACAATATTGTGGATACATTGTTCAGTCTCCTTTAAAAGTACTTGAATAGCTTGTCTCATGTGTATAGTTAAGTATCTTATAGTGTATGTTAATTATTCATTGTTTTTTTTAAATAGCTCTTATATCCAGTGTTGTTGTCCCGTGGACATTTCATTCCTCTGTATGTCCACACATGTAGCGGAATGACAGTAAAGCTTCACTTGACTTTATTTGACTTAAATAAATAGTCCATGTAATCAGTCATGATCAGTTTCAGCTGTTTGTGTGTGTAATGAGCAGGAACCGGTGTGTAACTGCAGGACATTGGATATGTAGTTCAGTTCTGTGGCAAATGTGATTCATACCGTCTAGATGACTTGGTGACTGTGACACTTTAATTTATTTTATTTTATTTTAATTTATTAAAATGTGAAAGCTTGATTGAATACTGTAATATTGTATAAAATAAAATAATTAAAAAAATTACCCAACACCAACACTAAACTCAAATGACATGAACAAAAAAACTGCACTGTGTTGTTATTATTGTTAATTAAAAATTAATTAAAATAGAAAAATTGCTCTCTTTTCTTTAAATGAAATGTAATAAAAACTAAGCATATAAATCTTTATTTTTTTTTCACCTAAAATCATTAAAACTGGTATTTAAAACAATCGTTAAACCTAATCAAAATTAGAGGCTCATTACATAAACAGTCTATTATTAAAGTTGAATAGTGAGTACTAATGCAATTAAATATGAATAGAATGGCCCTCCTTACATTTATAATTCTCAGAATATTGTTTAGTGCTTAAATTCATAAGGCAATACACTGAAAATATACATGGGACATTACTCAATAAAGAAAGTATAATTATTCACCACTATTGCCTATGCTTGCTGGCACATTCATAAAAAATGTATTGCTTCTGAGTTACTTGCTAGATTGTGTGTCTTTTGATTATTTCAATTGCAAAACCTTTTACACTGCATATGTTCTATAGGAGAATCAACCAATTGGTGCCAGTGTTCTCCAGCTGACTGTGTCTGACCGCGATGCCTCCCACAACGGTCCTCCTTTCACTTTTTCGATCATTAGAGGGAACGAGGGCGACTTCTTCCGCATCACTCCTCAGGGTGTCCTGGTCTCTGCAGCAACTCTGAGCCGCCAGACACAAGAGTTTTACCTCCTACAAGCCCAGGTGAGACCTCAATCTCGCTCTCTGATTCAGCCGCTCGCACTGAAGCTGCAGGGGTCTTGTTCAGTTTTCATTGGAAGTCTGGAGGGATAGATGAGCAGTGGAGCTGAGGTGAAGAGCTGCTTGTTCAGTATTCTCCTTACGGGCCAGGCATGGCCAATAGAGTATGAAGACAGAGCAGGCATGAAAAGCTGAGCTCTTTCACAATGACCTCCTGTTTTATGTGTTGTGTTTCCTTTTTGTCCTTTGGAGGTCATCCTGTCACTCTTTGATTTTGAACAGATGGCTTTCTGAATGCATGGTATTGATGTTATTGTAAGAGAGATATGCATGCAGGTTTTAATTTACACAGTTTGACCAGTAGTTCTTTATCAGAATGTCCAAACTGGATCTTTTAGGGCCTGAGCACAGATGGTCCGAGGACCCTATTGGAATTGCTTCGTTTATTGTTATTAACCAAATGGAGAGTCTAAACATGATGAAAACCAGGTTTCATACCTGGGTGTTCACGCACATATTCAACAATTGGCTTACACATGAGACACCTATAAAAAAAGTCTCTTGGAGCAAAATCTGTAACTGAGAATTTATTAGATCAACACCAAATTTAGGTAGTGTTATCTTAAATGTTTTTTAGATTTTTAATTATTTATAATATTTTTTTTAATTATAGAGAGTTTTCGTTGAGGAGCATGTACATAGTGGCCTTGCAAACTTCAATGTTTAGCCAAAAACCAGGCAGTTGTTAATTGTGGCTTGCTATGTCCGATCTGCAGCAAAATTCAGATGTTTGATAAGTCCTGTCTTGAAGACATACAACATACAAATACTTATTTAGTCATAGTGCCATCTTCTGACAGAAGATAGTTTATCACAAATTGGTGCCATTGACGGAAGTTCTTTTCATATTCACTATCTTAAATCAGGGTTCCCTCACTTTTTAAAAGTAATTTAATTTCAGACATATGAATTCAATGCCTGGAAAGTGCTTAAAAACATAGGTCCTTGAAAGTGTTTGAATTTAAAGTGTATGGTGTCACTTAGGGCTGGGCGATTTTTTCGATTTTTAAATTTTTTCGATTAATTCAAATTAACGTTTTGATGACTTTTTATTTTATATTAAATCGAGAAATCACAATTTTTTTTAATAAAAATATTTGAAACATTATAATGGCACCAATGCGCTTTGGTTCACTCTCTGTATGAACCAGGTCGCACACCTCGCAGCACCATGCAGCGCCATGGATTTTACAATTCTAATCATAGGTTTCTATACTCACACCGGCGCCGCCCAGCCAAGGTTTAGGATGCAATTCATATTTCAGCCGCGCCACAGAGAGCCATCTGATTAGTTTCATGTTAAATATCATGCGAATGTGCGCGTCTGGTGTGTGACACTTTAAACTGTCATGTGCGCATCGTGTCGCGGAGTTCTGGTGTGCGACCTGCTTGACTGCCTGTCTGAGTAGTGGCGGACTGAACACAGAGACTGGACAGCCTAATTTAACCCAGTGCATAAAGTTGTGAACATGCATCGCAGAGCTGGTGCAAATACAACAAATACAAGCATTTAAGTGTCTTAAGTTGTGCATTTTCCTTTTGTTAATACCTTTGCATCAAACGTGCTTTGGTCCACTCTCTCGCTACTCCAGCACTGCGAGGGGATTTACATTCAGACTAATGCAACAAGTGAAATCCTACATGACTTCACGCTTCACTAAGTCACGTTTGTGTGGATTGTCAAGACATATTCCCTTATCAAGTCAATAAACTCGATCTCAACATGTATGAAGGATGTAAAAACTGCGCAGATCTTAGTTTGAACCGCGCTGATCTTTTGGTTTGAACTATATTTAACTCGTGAATTTGTGAATTTATTTACACCTTGTTGACCAATTTGTGTATGGCATGGCCATTAAAAATACAATGTTCCTTAACCAGGTGGTTTTACAAGTTACTTATAAAGAGAATGTTACTTCAGTCATGTTGTTGTAATGTTTTAAGTTGACTAGTTACACAATAAAAAAAAGGAAACCGTGAATCGGTCATACTTTATAAAAAATCTAGATTTTTTTTTTTTTTTTGCCATATCGCCCAGCCCTAGTGTCACTTCAACAATTATAATGTGCTGCTTTCAAAAGCTGAACGACAAAACTAATAAATTCTTAATTAAAAATTATCTTATACAAGAACTGACAAATAATGCACATTTTATCAATATTTCAGAAACTGCATTTGAATATTAACAGTATTCAATTCAACAAATTGTCATTGACATTTTTGTAAGTGACACATTCAAAACAGTCCTTGAAAGTCCTTGAATTTAGTGTCCATGAAAGAGTGGGAACCCTGGTAAATGTTTTGCTCACTGTTCTCTGTCTCTTGCCCACTGTTCTCAAGGCCACCGGTCAGTGGTGAGGATGGGTGCGAGGGCCATTTCTAAACTGCCTGCAGCTTTAATGGTGTATTTTCTTTTTTAGTTATTTTGCTTAAGCCCCGCCCATCTCTTTTCAATTGATTGTAAGCTCACATTTAGGTCTGCATCTGTCGAATCCATCCAGTGATGAATAGTTCAGAGTCTCTGCCCTAGATTTGCTCTCCAATATTTCATTTCAGTCTGAAGGACATCACAGTATTGGAGAAAAGATTTGATGCTACTTCTGTTTCATTACAACTTTAAACTGCATTTTTGTACAATTTTAAACATCTCATATGTTTAGGATTAAGATTCTTTACATTGTGTCCTCTCGAGATTTATATATTTCTTTAAAAAAATAGAATATAATCCTGGTATTTGTGTGTATTGTCAATTGTGCATAGTCATGGTAACACGTTTGACATTTTAAGGCTTGCAGGACAGTAACTTGTGACTTTTTCAAAGAACAGTGCTTTCATTGAGTGTTTCTGGGTTGTGGAACATTTCATTTAGGTTATAGGGTCAATGAACAGCGTAAGACACAATTAACATCTTGTTTTGAGATAATATAATGTATAATAATATTATAAAAAATGATGTTTAGTAATATATGATAAAATTACAAAAAGTATTTTAACATAATGATAACAATAATAATAATATAAAACAATAATTATAACAACAACAACAACAACAATAATAATAGAATAATCAGGAATTTCTGGTATATTTAGAAATACAGCATGCTAAACGTTAAACTTCTCATTCATGTTTTTATTAGGAGTAAAATTAAATTACCCAGGGAAAGGGATGAATAATTGACTCAAGCCAGACTCAAAACTTGGATGTGCTGTATCCACCAGGCCAAATCTTTTTTCTTTGCACATGTGATTCTGTGCAATAACAAACGGCTCACTTAAATGTGTGAGCTGAGAAATTTGCTGCGACTCAAACTGTGGATCCTTTCAAAAGTAAATCTAAGCTCAAGTGCTCCCTCTACTGAACGTGACTGGCACTTATTATAATTGCCTCAACACAGAAGCTTCAGTTATTTTGTCTGTGAAGTGTGATTTATCAGAGGTGGCTGTGAAGTAAAAAATAATCTTATGAATTATGAATAATGCTTGCTTATAAATAATAAAAACATAACTATTGTTATTGTTTAAAATATGTTTGGGGATTATCCATCATGAACACCATGGGTTTATATATGCTTTTGTTATATACTTTTAACTACCTTTAGTGTATTATATTTCTGTTCTATGTAAAGGTCTGCCAAATCATAAAAAAAACACAAATTCCAATCCAGGGTGGCACGGGGGCTCAGTGGTTAGCACTGTTGTCTCACAGCAAGGAGATTCGAATATTGGCTGGGCTAATTGGTGTTTCTGTGTGGAGTTTGCATGTTCTCCCCATGTTCATGTGGGTTTCAGAGACAACAGTGCTAACCACTGAGCCCCCGTGCCACCCTGGATTGGAATTTGTGTTTTGTGATTTGGCACGTTTTCAACCTTTACCTAATCAACAGAACACTATGACAATGATCACCTTAGCCTACACCTCATGTGCTGTATTTAGTGTTAAATTCTAATAATGTGAGTTTGAATGTGATTTTACATGGCATTTATTGCCATATACTGAAAGCAGCAGCAGACAGTTTACCTCAGATCTTGATGTAATGGGACTTTAGAACTGTGACAAATATCAGTGAGTCAGCATGTACATTTATTAATGTTAAAGAGTTTTAATATGTATTAATTACATTATAAATCTTATGGTTGCGTTGGCGCGAAGTAAGTGCACTATTCTGTGCTTCTGAATTGTTATATTTAAATTTTGGTCGTGTTTCGTTTTTTGAAAACAGCCAAATTGCTTATAAACTGCAAATCTCAGCTGGTAGTGTGTTGTTAGGACACAGGGTTTCAATGTAACCTGCTCTCCTAATGCTTTTGTTCAAAATATTTATATTATTTGCCAATCAATAACCACCTCATGTGGAACTCTGAATCTGCATCTCATTTCGGAGGCTGCTACTGTCCACTGGAGGGCGCATTTTTCTTAAATATCTGCAGACATATCATGGGTAGTTTTATGCTTTAGAAGAGTAAAGAACTTACATGCAACACCTTTAAGACACATTCTAGGAGCTCCTAAGAGTTATCACATCTTATAAAAAAGTATATTATTACCACTTTAAATATTGCCAATATGTGCAAAAACCTAAAACTTATGATTGTGAGTCCTTTATCTTTTGACTGTTTTTGCTCTAGGTAACAGACAGCGGTCGACCTCCATTGGTCTCCACTGCATTTGTGAGTGTTCGTTTGATCGAGGAGAGCATCTACCCTCCCTCCATCCTACCGCTGGACATCTTCATCACCACAGCCACAGACGAATATTCTGGTGGAGTCCTGGGTAAAATCCACGCCACCGATCAGGACGTTTATGACACTCTAACTTACAGCCTCGCCCCCGACAGTTCCTCCACCTCAGAGAACTCCGGCCTCTTTTCCGTCTCCCCTGCCGATGGCAAACTAGTAGCCCGTGGGAATCTGGACGCCGGTCAATACGTCCTAAACATCACAGTGACAGATGGCCGCTTTACTGCAGCTGCCCGTGTCAATATTCACGTGCGGCAGGCGACAGCACAAGCACTCGATAACTCCATTGCGGTTCGGTTCTCTGCAATAGCACCCGAGGAGTTCATCGGAGATTACTGGCGCAACTTCCTGCGGGCTTTGAGGAATATCGCCGGTGTCAGACGAGGGGACGTGCAATTGGTCAGCTTGCAACCTGCTGCCGATGCCTCTGGTGACCTAGAAGTGCTTTTAGCTCTAGAAAGATCAGGAAGTCCATTCCAACCCCAGGAAGTGTTGTACAGGAAACTGAACGCCTCGGTCGGGGTGATCGAAGAGATGACGGGAGTGCGTATTGTGAGAGTTATGAAGAAACTATGTGCTGGTTTGGACTGTCCTCTTAGTTTCTGTCAAGAGACCATTGCTTTGGAGACTGGAGCTGTGTCGGCTTACAGCACCGCCAGGATTAGTTTTGTTACACCACGTCACATGCGCACAGCTAAATGTCTCTGTGAAGGTAAATATACTGACAGAAATTTCTAAAGCACATGTCATTTTTGAATCTAGAGTCATCTTAAGCCTTTACAGTTGAGGTCAGAATTATTAGCCCTCTTGTATGTTTTTTTTTTATTTTTCAACACATTTCTGAACGTAATTGGTTTAATAAGTTAAGTTAGGGTAATTAGGCAAATCATTGTATAACGATGGTTTGTTCTGTAGACAATTGAAAAATATATATATAGCTTAAGGGGGCTAATAATATTGACCTTAAAATGGTTTTCAAGAAAAAAAACAGCTTTTATTCTAGCCAAACCAAAACAAATAAGACTTTTTCCAGAAGAAAATATATTATAAGAAATACTGTGAAAAATGCCTTGCTCTGTTAAACATCATTTGGGAAATATTTAAAAAAGAAAGAAATATTCGCAGGAGGGCTAATCATTGGAACTCTATGTGTTGGTTTTATAGGAGCTGAGTGTTCTATCTTGAGTAAACTCTGTGAGGGAAGCCCCTGTCCTGATGGCATGGAGTGTGTAGAAGACCCTACACACAGCAAATACAGATGCATCTGTCCTGAGGGAAAACAGGAAGAGTGCTCAGGTAAAAAACACATGTCTGTCTTCTGAAATTGGCTTTAGTGCAACTCACAACAGAGTATTTAAAATTGGTATTCAATTATTTTAGTAGTGGAACCTGCCAAATCAGTTATTGGAGTTATTTATTTGGGTATTCTTGTTTGATTGAATAAATTAGCCAAAGATCAGTTATCTTGATTAAAAGATCTCGTATCTGCCAAATCATTTCAGGTGCTTTAAGCAAGTTAAGAACATTCGTGTGCAGGCACAGTGTTTCAATCCAAAATGACGTGTCCAACTACTGACCTGGCATGCTGCTTTTTTTGTAAATTATGCAAATTTGTTAATAAAGAAAGTTTTAAATAAATTGTCATACGCACAAAAAATCTCCAAAAATACTCAGGAAACATGTCTTGGTTTGTAGTACCTTGTTGTTGTGAAATGATAACCTTAGTTAATGATTATAACTAGGGCTGGGAGATTTTCATGCACATTGTGACTGTAAAGCTGGTTATACTGTAGTAAACCTCCAGCACATGCTTTCAGAAAAAGCCTTTTTGGAGTGTTTTTGATAAAGAAAATGGTTTTAACATTGAAATTAATATAGTTGGATGATTATGATATAAGTAATGCTTCTGTGATAATGACATTTATTTGTGTATCTTTGCAGTGAACCAACTCTGTGTAGAAAATTCTGCATCTAAATTTACCAAATATGATAACTTTCAGTCGAGTTTTTGAAATAACATCTTTTGTGATTCCGTAGTTGTGGGATTATTAGCAGTGCTTAAACAATGAAAGTAGTTAAAACCTCTGTTTATAATGCTTGTAATATTTATACTGCTATGTTGATTTCCTATTTTTTTGTGTTTGAATGTTTCTATGATTCCATGGCAAGATCTGCATGACAAATGCAGTGTTGCTCAAATGTATTAGCAGTTTTTATGTCGATGAATCGCGCAGCCCTATTTATAACACTAATAGAGATCTTAAAATACCATAACTCTGAATGACAATGGAACCACACTAATTTGTGAAGCACTAATATTTCTCAAGTAATGTAAATTTCATCAGTGTTGTTGGTTTTGGACATCGATAACCTTACTTAATTTTTGTTTATCTTTCTGTGTTGTAGAGCGTCAGTCTTTAACATTCAGCGGAAACGGATATGCCAGGTACAGGCTGATGGAGAACGAAAATAAGGAAGAAATGAAGCTGTCCCTCAGACTGAGAACATTCTCCACCCACGCCACTGTCATGTACGCCAAAGGCACAGACTACAGCATACTGGAGGTGAGTGTTTACTCTTAACCCCCTCAATCCTTCCAAAAAAAGAAGAGAAAACAGAAAGCGAGTTATTCTGGAGCTGGGAGAGGAGAGGGGAGCTCTTTCTCACGCATTCCTCTTTAGTGAGGAAAAACCACACGACTGACAGAAGAAGCAAAGAAGTCTGGGAGTGAAATGCAAGCGGTGTCATCTCCCTGCTGTTTAATTACAATAATGTGTAGCAGATTCAGCTTTTGCCTGAAGCATCATTCCTCATTTCATTTGTTAACTTCAACATCACACCTGAATAAATTACCAATAAATGGTGTATTTCTTAGTATGGAATATTCCTAAAATGTGCAAAAAAAAACACATACACATCATGGGCCAGAAATGTTGCATGTGCTTCGATGGACTTGGTTGCCCTTGATTGAACTTCTTGCTTATTACTTTAGGTGTGTGTGTGTGTGTGCGTGTGTGTACATAATATATATAGAAAACATCTGACATTGCAATATTTTGTTTTGCTTTAATATGTATTGCGATATGAATATATTTTCTTACCAAAGGACTTGAATAGCTCTATTTTGAAACATTTCATTAATTTAGATCGACAGGGATGATCAAGCATAAATAAATTACAAGCAAAAATAAATAAACAGTGTCTGGCAGTATTCAAGTACAGAAATTGAACAGTCAAATGTAAAATAACATGTTCATCATTGTATAAATAATAATAATAATTTATATATTAAAAAAAAAAAAAAAAAAAAAAAAATATATATATATATATATATATATATATATATATATATATATATATATATATATATATATATATATATATATATGTTTTAATCTTTATTAAATAGTCTAATCCTGCAATGTGATTATTGCAGATACACACATTGAGTTATCAATGCTCAAACAATATACTTTTTTTAATTATTATTCAAAAAATATGTTTTTATAAAAAAATTATATATATTATAGAAATATATTACTATAGAATAATAATCAAAAAATTATAATTAAAAGTATTTAAAACATAAAAAAGACTAATAATAGGCTAAAGATATATGTAACAAAGTAGACACTGAGAACAGTGTTGCGGATCCAAATGCAGTGAATAATCAAGGTCGTACAGGCAGAGATCAAAAACAGGAGCAAAACAATAATACAAGGGCAATCCAATAACCCTGGTCAAAATACAGGTGAGAGGTCAGACTCAACGGCAATGAATCAGAACGGGGAACAAGGCTAGATTCAATACCACAGGAAACAAAACCAGGGAAACCACTTTGTACATGTTCATCATAGAAACAAGACTCAGCAATGTGTGAATGAGGGTGAGGTGTATTTATAGTCCTTGTAATCAGTATAGATGAGAAGCAGCTGTATCTGTGCGTGAGTGTCCGGATTATTGTCAGCTGTGTCAGAAGTTGATGAGCGCAGGGAGTTTTGGGAGTTGTTGTTCATTCAGCAATAATCTCCCATATAGAAAACTCTGCTGGCGATTGCAACAAACTACAGAAAGCAAATCGCCACAAAAAGACAACATAATGGGAAATATATTTTAAACAATTTTTAATTGACCCAAGATTATAAAATTTGTTGTTTTCATTTGAAAGTTTTAGTCACTTTGATGTTTTTATTAAATCATTTTAAAATTTTATGTAGTCTTTATTGAAAAATATGTAACAAAACCGGTTATATTAGTCACTGTATGTAGAATAATATAATATAAAAACCTGCACTTAAATGTAGACCAATTTTCCATTTATTTTTGTTATATTTTATTACAATAATAAACTATTAAATACACTAATAATACACTATTAACCATTTTGTATCATTTAAAAAAGTTTTTATACCGACCCCAAATGTATGCCAATGATAATCTTCATAGGTTCAGCATAACAAAAAACCTGTGCGCGTTTGTTTCAGATCGTGAACGGCCGCCTGCAGTACAAGTTTGACTGTGGTAGTGGGCCTGGTGTGGTGTCTGTGCACAGCACCCAGGTCAGCGATGGACAGTGGCACACGGTCTCCCTTGAGGTGGACGGTAACTACGCCAGACTGGTTCTGGATCAGGTCCACGCTGCGTCTGGCACAGCTCCAGGCACCCTCCGCACCCTCAACCTGGACACCAGCATGTACTTCGGGGGTCACGTGCGGCCCGCGTCCGGCTCTGGCAGACTTGTGATGAACGGTCTGCGGGGTTGCCTGGAGGGAATTGTGTTTAATGGGAGAGAGCTGCCACTGTCTCAGGTTCGAGGAGCTCATTCAGTGCTGGAAGAGTTGGTGGAGGCGGCTCCCGGGTGCAGCTTGGCTCCTCCAATCCAGGGCTGCACCAGTAACCCCTGCACCAATGGAGGCACATGTTTAGCACTGCCTAATGGAGGTATGTGTGGCATGATTTTGGATGCATGTTATTGTATGTACAGTGCTCGTGAAGTGCTCTGAAGTGTGCATTGTTTGATGTAATTTCAACTAAAAATGAAGATGGGTTTTGATATAGAGTAGCCCCTCCTTTTTAAAAAACAGCCAATAGCATTTGTTTTATTACAGCTCTGCTATTGAAAGTTGACAAATGATAAGCGTAATGAGGGGCGGGGCATGTCAAATACTAGAGAGCATTTGATTGGTCAGAAGATTTGATGAGAAACTTAAGTATGAGGTGATGTCAAAAACATTTAGACCCATTTAGTGGCAAACAGCTAGCCTTGGATGTTTATGGCTTCTAAATTCGAGTTTTGTCTTTGTTTTGGAGCAAACTAGCTTACAGATATTCTTAAGACTAACATGCTGATATAATTTTTAATTTTATTTTTGATATATAGTTAATTACATTTAATTTTACAAGGACTTTAAAGGGAGTTTGCCCACTCAAAAAACGAAAATTCATACAATATATTCTCACCCAATTATTTCAAACCTCTTTTTTTGTTCAATTGTGTATAACCATATAGTATTTTTTTGCTACTATGGATGTCAGTGGTCACAGGTTTCCAACATTTTTGAAAATATATTGCTTTTTGTTTGTAAATTTTTTTTATGGTAAACTGTCTCTTTAAATATAGGACTGACTAATATGTTTTTTTTAATATGTTATTATGTTTTCTATTGTGTGCTGTAGGATATTTCTGTAAGTGCACCGCTGCATTCATGGGCACTCACTGTGAAGTCACTATCAGCCCTTGTGCCTCTAATCCCTGTCTCTATGGAGGCACATGCATCCCACGAGGAGGAGACTTTTACTGCCAGTGCAGAGGACAGTACTCTGGGCAACGGTGAGAGCATGTGTTTGTTAACAACCCTAATAATTCAAGAATTCCATTGCATTAGATAATGATCAACAAAATGGTGGCAAAAACATGTATAGTGTATTCAGTTATGGGTATACTGAGTGACATTTCTGAGGATATTATTTGTAAATAATAGCAAAATCTTTGAAAAACAGTGCCATGTCCCTATATATGGGAGTTTTTTTTTACATTTCTTGTTTTGATACTTGATCTCTGATGCTATTTTTCTTTAAAATGATTAAAGTGTCCAAGTATTTTTTTCTGGGCAACTGAAATATATATTATATTATTATAATAATATATTAATCAGTATTCTCCATTATGTGACTGTTTTATCAGATTGTTGTTTGTTTGTTTTTACTTTTTATTGTGTTTTATTTCTATTTTTTAGGTCACTGATTTGTTCCTAAATCTCTCTGTTCTATTTTTATTTATTTATTTAGACACCAAAGCATTAAATTCCTCTTTATTTGACTAATTATTTTAAAAGTTTGATATTTCCCTTTTTGTTTTGTTTGTTTGTTTGTTTATTTAACTTTTTACTGACTTTGTGTGCCTACTCCAGATATGTAGCCAAATACAAGAGAGCTCTGTCAATATTTTCATTAATTAAACTTCATTAATATGCATAGTCTGGCTCAAACTTAAGAAAAACACTTCAGAGATCCATATGGCATTCTCAGTAATTCCTATTAAATTGGAAATTTAATCAGAAGCTTCGGGAGGGGATGTTATTGGTAATAAGATTTAATTCAGTAAGACAGAATCAATTTTCTCTCTGAGAATTTTTTCACTGCAGCTTTAAAGCACCTGAGCGCAGCTTTTCTTATTTAAAGTTTAACTGAAGATTTTTGAATGATTTATTGGCTCTTTTTAATTTTCATTCAGGTGTCAGCTGGGGCCGTACTGCACTGATAACCCGTGTAAGAACAGTGGCAAGTGCATTGATAGCCTAGATGGCCCTGTATGTGAGTGTGAACCGGGTTTCCAAGGAGAAAGGTATGTGTATTGAAATTTTCTAACAAACCTGTGAGACTCTCAATTACTTATTTTGTTACTATATGAAATGGACATGGTGAAGAACTTCTTTATGAGATAATCTGTCATCAGAAAACATGACAACTATCAAACTTGTATGCAATCCTTTCTTTTGTGGAACATAAAAAATAAGTTGGTAAATAGCAGGGAAAAATGGCAATTGTAATCTAAATGTTTTTTAGTACAGGGTTCCCTATGGTTCATGGAATTACTGGACTTTTTATGGACTTTTCAAAAGTCTATTTCAGACGTTGATAGTCAAGGAGCATTTATATTGTTTTCTCCTGGTCATGGAATATCATGAGTTTTTGTTTGTCACTTTAAATTGTTGTTTTCGTTGATCAAAATGTACATTTTCTGTATTGTATTTTTTCTCTAATACTGTTTTGATGCCTATTGTTATGGTTGGGCAATTTGTCAGCTCCATTTTATTCCTTTCAAGCTCATTAACTGGCAGTCACTGAAGTCAAATGCAGCTATCAGACTGTACCTGTTATTTAAAACCAATATAAAAGTAATATAAAATAAAATAAAAAAAATTAAGAGGTTTTGCTTTAAAATGGCTACTTTAAAATCTGGTTGATAAAAAAAGTAGATGACAGAAAAGTTCAGTTAAATGTACAATTTAATAGGAATATGTAAATTTGTAAAGATACTATTGAGCTATTAAATATAAAAGAGGGAGCACTGCAAAGTCACTTAAACAGTAAATACTTCAGATTTATTTCAAAAACTGAGGTAAACTATCCATTGTTGTTTTCAAAGTGGATATTAAAGTCATGCACAAATATATTCAATCTAAAAGCATTTTAAGACTGTTAATATTGTAACATAATATTTTAAAGTAATATTATTAATAAATAAGCATGATATTAATATATAAGCACAGTAGTGGCCTGTTTTTTCATTGAAAGTGGAACTCTGGTAATAAATACTTTGTTGTTTTAAAATATTGCATTTAACACAATAATGTCTTGACATTTTCTGATATGATATGAAAATAAAATGCAGTTAAATATTTTGAATAATTAATTGCTACATTGCTTTATTAGTTAAGATTTTATCATTTGAATCAACTGACACCCCTATTTAATACACCACCAGCTACAAATTATTGATCTGTAGTGATCTGTAATTATTGATCTGTGTATGTTTTGTTTGTGTGCAGGTGTCTCAGTGATGTAGACGAGTGTTTGAAGAACCCTTGTGGCAATGGCGGTCACTGCCAGAACACATACGGCTCCTTTAGCTGTAATTGCTCCAATGGTTACAGCGGCCAACATTGTGAACTTCGTTCCGAAATCCGCAACGAATTTGTCTCCACCTCCTGGAACATCGGCTTGGAGGAAGTGATCGGAATCGTTGTCTTTGTCGCCAGCATTTTCTTTCTCGTTCTGCTCTTCGTCGTAGTTCGCAAACGCATTTGTCGGCGCTCAAAATCCAAATCTGATGACGACGACAAGATCGGCATCAGCACTGGCACCCAGAACAGCTTCCTTCACCGGCCATACTTTGACGCCAAACTCAACAGGAACATCTACTCCGACATCCCACCGCAGGTCCCAGTACGACCCATTTCCTACACTCCCAGCATTCCAAGTGACTCCCGCAACAATCTAGACCGCAACTCGTTTGAGGGCTCAGCCATACCAGAGCACCCAGAATTCAGCACGTTTAACCCTGACTCGGTGCACGGGCATCGGAAGACGGTGGCGGTCTGTAGTGTAGCACCTAATTTACCTCCTCCTCCACCCTCCAACTCTGTTTCTGACAGTGACTCCATACAGAAGCCCAGCTGGGACTATGATTATGATGGTATGTATTAAACCCATCTTGTTGTTGTGCAATGAACTATTTGTGCTAATTAGTGACTATTCACAGAAACTCCTTGTTTGTTGTGTAAATCGGATCCGTGTGCCTCATGAAGTGACAGCGGGCTACATTCCTATTGTTGAATGTGTTTAGTATTTATCAGACAACAAAAACAATCACTAACTGCTCTTGAATCAAGGATTTTTGTAGCTCCAATAATACAATTTTCATCAAAGGCAGCAACACCAAAGCTCCAAAAAAACTAATTTATTAAATTAAAAAAGCTTACACAAAAGGTGTAACGTTTCGAGCCACATGGCTCTTTATCAGACAGCGTTCATCACAATCAGGTGTCCCTTTTTGTACACATCCAGGTCACATGATGTCCTTTCGCATATATGTCCACATATACATACATAGATATCAGGGGTGGCCAACCCTGTTCCTGGAGAGCCACCTTCCTGCAGATTTCAGTTGCTACCCATATCAAACACACCTGAACCAATTAATTAGGACCTGAACACCACGTGATAATTACAGGCAGGTGTGTTTGATATGGGTTGCAACTGAAATCTGCAGGAAGGTGGCTCTCCAGGAACAGGGTTAGCCACCCCTGATACTTATGTTTACATACATACATACACAATCATTTATATACACATATACATATGAATACATACATACACACACACTCATTCATAAATATAGCTTAGATACTTCAAGTGAAAATTCCAAAAAAATAAACCATAATATTACATCACAAATTATAATAAAGAACAGAATGCACAAGGATACACCAGACTATACCACAAAATATAGCCAAAAAACCATTCAATCATCATTCATTCATTTTCATTTTGGCTTATTCAGTATCAATGATAAACAAACCAAATTGAATTCTTACAGGGAAGACTAAATGCTAGGGCTTGGCGATATGCGACAAAAATCTCCTATCATGAAATAAGTAATCCGATAAATTACGATATATATCACGGTTACCATTTCTGTTTAAATATATAATTGATGACTTGTAAAGAATTTGTTTTTGTTTACCTTTAGAAGTATTTTGTCAGAAATGTACTTCTTTGTTTATACGCTTTATCAAAAATGTAGAAATAGAAAATAAATATTGTTAAAATAGAAAAGATATCCCCCCCCCCCCCCATATTAAAGCAACTCTAACTGCATTTTAAATTTCATGTATGTGACTCAATCTGTTTTATGTGGTTGGTAATTAAAAGTTTTTTTTTGTCCTCACAGCTAAAGTGGTGGACTTGGACTCATGTTTAAGTAAAAAGCCGGTGGAGGACAGTGCATGTCACCCGTACAACACCAGAGGAAGCATGTCTGAGGTCCACTCTCTCAGCTCCTTCCAGTCTGAGTCCTGTGACGACAATGGTACGTACAGTAGGGAAGAGAATAGGTTGCTTTTGTTTTATCTAATAGATGCTACACAATTGAAATGTTTTAAATACTTCTTGTTTTATGCATTTTTTTCTGCACTGTAGAAATATTTATGCAGCTTATTTTTCTGTAATTACAATGCAAAAGGTCATGTGAAAAAATACGGCTTTAGTCGACCCAAAAAAAAGGTTTCTTTAGAATTACACAACATTACTCTGAATGACAAAACTTTTATTTTTGGCTTATATTGAAAAACACTACTAGCAGCCAGTATTAAAACAGTAAGCTTGACCAGTTCATTATTATTTACAACATTTACTTATTTAAAAAAGAATTATTAATTAAAATGAATACACAATGTGCTTGTCATTTCTCCAATTGACCAAACTAGAATGACTTAACTTGAATTACTTCAGCATCTATTTGTTGATGTCACAAACTGTTGATTTACTATGTTTTTGTATAATGTGTAAGTTCATTTTAATTTTAGTACTTCAATAATTAATTTTATACAAACAAAGCTGACCTTTTTGAATATGCCACAAAAAACACGTTTTAATAATTTATATTTATTTGTTATATTATTATTATTATTATTATTATTATTATTATTATTGTTGTTGTTGTTGTTGTTGTTGTTGTTGTTGTTGTTGTTGTTGTTGTTATCATCATTACTATTATTGTTATTATTACTACTGTTATTATTATTATTATTATTACTATTATTATAATTATTGTCAATAATATTACTATTAGTATTCTTATTACAGTTATAATAATAATAATAATAATAATTATTATTATTATTATTATTATCTTTATTATTATCTTTATTATTATTGCTATTATTGTTATTATTCTAATTATTACGGTTATTATTATTGTTAATATTACTATTATTAATACTATTATTATTATTATCATTATTATTCTTATTATTGTTATTATTATTATTGTTGTTGTTGTGGATATTATTATTATTATTAATATTATTATAATTTTTATTGTTTATTTGTTTAAAGAAGATGTAGTAGTTCAACCGCTGTCTGTGTTGTTGTCAACTTTGCAGTTTGCCACATTATTTCACCAATATTTTAACATTTTGTTTTCGCTACGTTACTTGAAACATGAAATTAGACACTTTACATGCATTTAATATGTTTTCTATGGAATTGATTTTGTACATTTCATTTGATATTTATTAATTTCAAAATATGTATAATATCAAAAACATATCAACTATCTTTATTAGTACTTCAAAGGTAAAACTAAAATCATAGTAATTTTATTTTGATGTTGTAGGTTACCATAGACATTAGTTTTGTCAGGAGTGTACTGGTATATGTAGTACATACTAAACGTTAGCACTTTATGATTTAGTTCCTTTTTTATTTAGGAATTAGTGTTCAGTAATTGAAGTTTGAACCTTGTAATTATGTGTGAAATTGGTTAAAGTGTCAGCTATCATTTCTGTTCATTCAGCATAAAACGAAAGGTCAACACTGTTTGCTGTGCACAGTATTGAATGTAGAAATAGTAGTAGTATGCTTTTCCAGACATAACCAAAATCTCTTGCATGCTCTTTTAAGTTGGCAGACCCCTATACTGTTCATCATATGGTTATTCTTTTTTCCGATTATTACTCTGAACATCTGCTAACCCTGTCTGTCTTTATTTTACTGATGTAACCCAGTGTAAAGGATGATATGTTTGGGTCATGTGTTATATCATTTCTCTTTCTCTTCCTTATCGCTGCACTTGGGCTTCAGCTCCCATTTGGATCAAATCTCACCACAGACACAGAGCAAGGTTTTAAATAGAGGCCTGCTCGTAAGTGAACACTCGCCCACGGTGCAAGGAAGCGATCACTGAAGGCCCTATGAAATTCTCAAAGCATAAAAAAAGAAGAAAGCATGTCTTTTCTCTAAGCCTCGTCGTTTTTTTTTTTTTTTTTTTGCTTTTGGCAACTTCTCATAAGTTTTTCATCAGTTCAGACAGCATCTGAGAATGGCCTATATAAGATCTCTATTAGTTCTCTGTGTGGAATTCATGTTGTGGATCTCTTCTCTTCTTTTTTTCCTTTCCCTTCTTTGTTTCTCTTAATGAAGCCAATGGATGGTTGAAGACATCAGCTCAGAGTGTAAAAGCAGGGTATGAAAAGTACACATGATGGGTCTACAGCACACATCATTTCTGTTGATCTTGAAGGCCCTTTCACATGACTTCTGACAGCGTTTCCTTGGGTGCTGAAGTGCAGGGAACAAACTGCTAGGAGCTATGTTGCAGTACAGTTGAACTTTGTAGCACACTACTTTAAAGTACAACCCACTTCAGCTTTGAACTGTTTGGTGCTTGACCTTACGAAGCACAGCAAATAATAACGTGTCATCATGAGGCCCGATATCATTGCAGAAATTCAAGGCAGCAATGATTGTGCTTGTTGAAGATTCATTTGGGTCAGAATGACAGAGTTATATAAAGCTTAGAGCAGGGGTCTCGCGGGTCATTTGCAGGCCTCTCTCTTCCTTTAAAATATAGCGAGATTCGGCCCACCAAATCATATATTTTTGAATCACTATCAATGTTGTGCAGTCGTTTATAGCCACTTGTGGTTTTGACCCCCACCTACTGGACATTTAAAGGATTGTACTATATGTCCAGGTTACTTTAGGTTTCTCGCAGTGTGCAGTTGAGAGTAACGCTGATTATTTCTTGGAGCTGATTTAAACATTGAAATATATGTCCATAAGTACTCTATTTTTACTAAAGCTCTATTTTTGTAAATATTCAATGGTCATTTAATTATAAACAGTTTTATACCACCTGTTTTTGTGGTACAAACACCTCTTCATGGCTTACACAGTATGCTGTTAGTGTTAATATGATCATTTTGCTAATTTTCGATTTAAATGCTTTTTTTATGTTATTGTTATCTGTCTGATATCAGAATTAGGTCAATATCTTTAAGCCGATAGATTAGGTCATTGTACAGAATTGCCTGCCTCTCGTTTTGTTATTCAATTTATTATTTTTATGCAACAGTCAAGTTGCATGTTAATTTGCTATGCAAAGAAAAGAAAATAATCTATTTTTGCCATGCTGATTTATGTGAAATCATATAACTATATAATCACCATGCAATTTTAAAACTACAACTCTTTTTTTTTTTTTTTTTTTTTTGCTTTTAGTAGGCTATTCTAAGATCTGTTTAAGCTTCTATGAAGTTTTAAAAATAAATTCAGTTGTTCACTGTATTAAGTTGTCTCTACATTTTAAAATGTTTCTATTTATAGGCTAAAGTATATCGGTTATCAGCCACCATATCTAAAGAGTTTTCGGTTATCGATATCGGCCCAAAAATCCATATCGGTGCTTCCTTACTTTTTGTTGTAGTTTTACAAAAAAAAAGAAACATATTGCGAAGAACAATTGTCAGTAAAGCCACTAAAGTTACCTGGTTTCTGCTGTCTTACTGCTATCTGTTAAACTTTTGGTTAAGCGACAACTGATTGGGACATAATAATTTTTATTATTGCTTATTATTAAATCGTAGCATTTTATAGCAATTTAAACTATACCCTCAATGTGTACAACAAGAAACAAAATGAAGGAGATTTGATAGGAAAAATGTTATCAATTACATCAGGTTTTCACTTTCCTTCTTTTGCTTGAATGTTAAAATGGCCCTCCTATGAAATGTCAGTCACTAATATGGCTCCCCGCCAAATTTTAGACCTTTGGCATAGAGAAACTTTTTGTGTGTGTGTTACTGCTGCAAGGTTATTTGAAGGTGCTTGCGCTTTAGTGTGCATGGTAACTAACATCCCTTGCAAGGCACAAGTCATTGAAATGAATAATTGGGTTTCACAACGCAGTGCTCTCCGTGTCCTGTGTGAAAGTCATTTTAAACTGCACAGTGGTAACGACTGGAACGTGACCAAAACCAGCACGCTGAACACTGTAGGACAGGGCTGTTCTCTATTTTAATACTAATGGCAACTGAAAGTTTGTTGCATCCCTACTTATAGGATGTGTTGTGTGAAACGGAGTCATGGATTCATGTGAAAGAGACCAAATCATCTAACCATTGACCCTCATTTGACTTTATCAATCCCTGAACTTGACCTAACAACTTCCCCATTGAATAAATGATCAATATTGTCTTAAGGTCATATACCTGCATATTCTTCCAAAGCGCCAACCCTTGCTCGTTAATGTTTGCTCCATCTGCTGATTTTGGTTTGGGGCCAGAGTTTGTCCTTGTTCTTTTTTTTTATCTTTGAGAATTTCCCTGATCCTTCCTTCCGCCTCTCTGTTAATGTATGTAATCATGAGCACAACGTCAGCCTCCACTCCCACTGTCCTCAACCCAGACGTGTGCCTTACCAACACAACCCAAACCCCCTCTGCCATTAACCCATCCTCAGATCACACCCTTGTCAGAAGCCAGAACTCCCATTAATCCAGAGTTAATATCTGTTGGTGCTAAATCAAATCAAATCCATCAGTTATGTCAAAATACTGTATAATGTCTCATCGTGAGAAGCGCTTTTGTCTGTGCTTCTTTGGTTCTTGACTTCCAGTGTTTCTGTCCTGTCATGTTTACTCGTGGAAAACAAAATTAATGTTAGATTTCTCTCATCTTCCCTTCTTACAAGCCTCCCTAGTGACAGTAATCCACCTTGTCAGCTCTGTTGTTGACTCGGTGGAGAAAGAAGGTACTCTTTTGCTGCTTCCTTGCTGATTATTGGGTGTTTGTGTCGTTAGGGTTTGGTGGGTGATTCATTTGGTCTCCAAAATGCCATTTTCTTCACCCATAACTCATCTACAGAGACAGAGAAATGAAAATTGACTAATCGCATCTGTCTCACACCTCATTAGCCAACCCAGGTGCCTCATTTGACTTCAATGGCACTTGATTGTTGAGCTAATTTGAGGTGGTGTAAAGACGGATTTCAGCATTTCATCAGTGCTGTGATAGAAAGCTGTGCAAGCAAATGGCATTAAGATCACCTCAAACCTTCATGGTGCTTATATTTATATCCACATGCTCCTGCTATCTTTGTTTTGTTTTTGTTCCCACAGTGGTCTTCAGTCTTTCAGTATTGACATTTTCTCTTTTCTCTCCTTTCTCTGCAATTCTGTTTGCCTTTTGTCTAAAGAGTCATTCTCGGCTCATGAACACAAGAACCCAAGAGGTGATACATTTCTGTACAACTTGCCTGAAGCCTTTTTTCTGTTGTATTTTTTTATTTTATTTTTTTTTTTGGTTTTGCTTTGTTTTCCTCTGATATAACACAATTCTGCATGTCCACAAATCTGTGACAAAAATAGTATCAAACCAACTTACTTTTTAAAATCAATTTACTGTAGGACCCACCGTGCCTGCATTTTGTGCATTTTTTGTCACAGCTATAAATTATTATTGATTTTATTTATTTTTTGCTTTTGTGTTCCCTATTTATCTTACTAAATTCCCTCAAAACACTACATTTGAACAACCAAATAACACCCTCCTTAATCATTTCTGTTCAAAGTTTTTTTTCACAAACTAGACATTTATTTTAAGTTACTTTCAGTGTGATGTGTGTATTTGTGTATATATTTTGGTTAAAATATTTGTGTGATGTGCATTTTGCTGGTGTGATACTGACGTTGCATGTTGTTGGTTTTAAATGCCTCATTTATGCCAAATTTTTGAAGGGGTTGAAGTCAATTCAGTTTTTGTTCAAGCAGAGAATTTTTTATTTAATAAAATAATTTAAAAGTATGATGATATCCACAGCCATATCACCCTGCAGCCCAAGACCGGTTACTCACTGAAGCTAAGCAGGGCTGAGCCTGGTCAGTACCTGAATGGGAGACCACATGGGAATGTTAGGTTGCTTGGATGTTAAATCAAGGTCCTGACTCTATGTGGTCTTTAAAAATCTCATAGCTCTTCTTATAAAGAGTAAACCCCGGTGTCCTGGCCCTCCATTGGCCCTTGCCCATCATGGCCTCCTAATCATCCCCATCCACCAAATTGGCTGTATTACTGTCTTTTTACTCCACCAATAGCTGGTATGTGGTGAGTGCACTGGCACCATTGTCCTGTGGCATATCCAAGTGAATGCTGCACACTGGTGGTGGTGTGGAGAGACCCCTCTCATGATTGTAAAGCGCTTTTGGTGTATGGCCATACATGATAAATGTGCTATATAAATACACATTACATTACATTAGTTGGTTATTTATTAGTTTATAAAATTTTAAAATGTATAATATAGATCTAAGTTGATAACTTAAACATAAAGTCATCATTTACATAACTATTTGCTCATAAATAATTGTGGAAATTAATCTAAAAAGATCTTCATGATGGCAGTGCATCAATACAGAACATTAATCATGTAACACCAAATTAATGGCAAAATAACATCAATAATAACATCAGTAAATGTTACAGCAATAACAGCAGCATAATAAGAATTTTAATTTCCTGAACTGACCACTGAAATTGAATTGACCTCAGCCTTTCATTGGTGTGTAACCACAACCTAATCAAAAGGTTTATTTATTTCAGTTTATTTCTCCTATTTTGCCCGCTCACTCTGATGTTTACTGATTGTTCTTATCTGACAGGCTATCATTGGGACACATCTGACTGGATGCCGAGCGTTCAACTTCCTGGAATCCAGGAATTCCCTCAGTATGAGGTAGTGGAGGCTCCACCCACCCTTTACAGTGACCCCGCCCTGCTGGACACGGACTACTATCCTGGCGGATATGACATTGAAAGCGACTTCCCTCCTCCGCCTGACGACTTCCCATCCCATGATGACCTACCCCCTCCTCCACCTGTGCCAGAGTACGGTGATCGCTATGACACATTACAGCCTGCCTCACGCGGGTTAAACAGCACCCCCTCTAGTCCTGGAGGGTCTTCAATACGCCATCGGCCACCATTACCACAGCTCTACAGCCTCACCCAATTCCTACCCCACCACCACTACTCCTCAGACCCCGAACCCCAAACCAACCCCACCAGCACCAGCACATCATCGTCCACTGAAGGATACCGACACGGAGGCTTCTCGCTAGGCTACAGACGCGACTTCGATCCCCCTGCCGCCGATAACATGTCGCTTTCGCTGTACACATCCACGGCGTCCTGCTCGGACATGTCAGCCTGCTGCGAGGAGTCAGAGGTGATGATGAGCGATTACGAGAGTGGCGGAGAGGAGGGAGCACAGTTTCAGAGGCTCATTATACCACCGCTGGACTCACAACATCAGCAGCATACTGAAGTCTGACACTGGATCCAACACTTACGTTCAAAAGTGCCTAAACCAAACCCTGCAACAGGAGACTTACTGTGTGTTTAAACCATAAACCACATAACGTTCATCCTGCACCAATCTGCCACACAAAGGAAAAGCGCGGTGACTACACGTGTGGACAAAATTAAGTCCTAAAATGGATCTGCTCTGAGAAACGAGTGTCAAAATTGCAGTATATAAAAAAAAATTGTTTTCAGTTTGCGTAGATACTGAACTTTGCCTTTGTTGGGCAGAAATGTAGTCTTAAAGAATGTTCACAACAAGAAGTGTAACCATTGGCTGAATGCATAGCACAACTACAATGATAACAGCACAGAGAGGTAATATCGTACATTCAGAAAGATTTTTTTTCTGGGCGTAAATCAGAAGTAAATTTCAAAAGTAAATCGGTGAAGTGGAGTTTAAAGTGCTTGAGCTTTTACAGCAGCAGGCGACAAACTAAAAGCATGTGCTTTTATTAAATTTACTTGTGCATCGTGTAGATGCTAATATACAGTGGGGAAAATAAGTACTGAACATGTCACCGTTTTTTGCAGAAAACATATTTATAAAGGAGCTGTTACCTGGAAATGTTGTTGAGAACTATCCATATTTCCAAAGAAAACAAATCTAATTAGTTTACAAATGAAGTAATAATAAAATGAAATAAAACAGGGGGAAAGTATAGAACACATGAAGAAAGGAAGATGTAGAAAGACACTGAAAGCCCAGACAGCACCTGAAATCTCTTAGAAGTTATTCAGCAATCCTTTGCCCTTTGTCTTTGTAAATTAATATTAGTTGCTTTAGTCCAACATCTACATTAGCAGGATGATGAGGATGAAACCAGGGTGACATTTCAGCAAGACAATGATTCAAAACAGCAGAGGAAACTCTTAAATGCGTTCAGAGATAGAAAATCAAGCTGTAGAATGGCTTAGCCCAGGGGTGTCAAACTCAATTCCTGAAGGGCCGAAGCCCTGCACAGTTTAGTTCCAACCCTGCTCCAACACACTTACCTGTAGGTTTCAAACAAGCCTGAAGGACTCAATGAGTTTGATCAGGTGTGTTTAATTAGGGTTGGAACTAAACTGTGCAGAGCTGTTGCCCTTTTTGAACTGAGTTTGACACCTGTGGCCTAGCCAATCACCTGACTTTAATCAAATATAAAATACAAAACAAAGATCAGATTTGATAGACGAGACACACAGAACCATCTTTGTATATTAATATTAGCTTCTTCAGTCTAACATCTACATTTGCAGGATGATGAGGATGAAACCAGGGTGGACATTTCAGCAAGACGATGATTCAAAACACAGTCGAGGAAATGATCTAAAGCTTTCAGAGAAAGAAAGTCAAGCTGTAGAATGAGAGTGTTTGTGTTTTTACCAAAATCTGGCTCAATTCCTTGTCAACAGCTCCTTTAGAAATATTATTCCCAGGAAATAAACATGACGTATTCAATACTTATTTTCCCCGCTGTAGTTGCCTTTCTTGGTGTGAATGGGCATTTACACCACATAAATGCCAAACATCCAAACACACACATCGTATATACATCTGTATCTCACTGAAGATGGGTTGTTTTTTTTGGAAAGACTTGCTTGAAAAAGAGTTCTCTCCAGTAGCTCTAATATGGGCTGTTATTAAGGTTATTTAACAGTATTGGAGAGGGCGTTAGACTTGGCTGTGCCATTAAGTAATACATGATGAGATGTACAATTCACACAGAAAATGATAACTGATATATTGTCACAGATAATGGGAGACCGAGCATCATTTCACACATCAAGGTGATATCTGTATTTGTATAGATATAGCCATGCAAACTGATTTTTTTATACAGATCCTCATTCATTTGTAATGTAAATTTTACTGTACAGTTTTGATTTCAAGGTTTTACTAGGTTTTTGTAGATATTTTGTTTTTCTCTCGCTTTTTTTTTCCAAAAAAAAGAAAGACAGGAAAAAGTAGTGTACCAAGTCAAATGGTGTGTCATTATCAGCCTTACTGTATGTTCATTCACAAGTAAAGAAAAGAGCATTTAAAAAAATAATAATAATAAAATATTGTAAAGGATATGAATGTGTGCTCGTCACAACACACGTTCATTTCTGAAAGGATCATCATCTGATGGACGTCTGCATATTCTTGTGATGTTGTTATGTTTTCTTTTCTTTTTTTTTTATTTGTTGTTTGTAAATTGTGACTTTGGAACATCTTTATTTTTTGACCATGAAAATGGGACCCAGTATATTTATAGTGCGAGATTATTCACAGACATGTGACTTTTTCAGGGTCTGCGTGTGTGTGTGTGAGCAATGCTATGGTCTTGTTTTATGATTTTTATTAAATACTGCCACTAGCTTAACTGCTTTACTACTGGCAATAAATTATTCTCTAAAACGGGTGTTTGTCTTGCATGCGTTTATTGAATTTTTATACTCGCTTAGGCAGAATCACTTAGATGGTGGATTTGAAACACTTTAAAATTATAAAAACACATCAGGGCTTGAATGTGCTGTGGTATGTGACTACAGCTCCACATGCTGTGTTGATGCAAATTCAGGCACATCATTTCTGTCAGCTACAGCATATTAGCTGCCCAGCAAGCAATTTTTTGTTTTTAAAGATGTCCAATAGACGTCTAAACATAGTTGTCTTGGCTAAAACAAAACTAAATTTGGGCTTTCAGTGAAAATCTAATAGACGTATAAGAATAGGCCAAAACTAGACTAGTCATAAAATAAACAGAAATGAATGACAAAATATATAAAGTCTGTCTATTTGATGACCACACTGTAAATTACAGACAACGCCTGTTAAATCAGACATTTACCATAAAATAATGGCCATTAAAGTACAGACATTTGCTGCAAAACAACGCCAGTTAAATTACAGACATTTACTGTAAAATAATGGCCGCTAAAGTACTGACATTTACCGTGAAATAATGGCCAATAAATTACAGACATTTACCGAAAAATAACGGACGCTAAATTACAGACATTTACAGTAAAATAATGGTTGTTAAGTAACAGACGTTTAATGTAAAATAGCGGGTGTTAAATTGCAGGCATTTACTGTAAAATAACGGATGTTAAATTACAGACATTTACCGTAAAATAATTGACATTAAATTACAGACATTTCACATAAAATAACGGACGTTATATTACAGAGATTTACCGTAAAATAATGGACAATAAATTACAGACATTTCACATAAAATAACGGATGTTAAATTACAGACATTTACCGTAAAACAATGGCCGTTAAGTAACAAAACAGCGGCTGTTAAATTGCAGACTTTAACTAAAATTTTAGTTTCTGGTAAATTTCTGTAATTTACTATCTGTTATTTTACGGCAAATGTCTGTATAATTTAATGACCGTTATTTTACAGTAAATGTCTGCAATGTAACAGCCATTATTTTACGGTAAATATGTGTAGTTTAACATCTGTTATGTTATGGTAAATGTCTGTAATTCAAACGTCCATTATTTTATGGTAAATGTCGGTAAAGTATTTTCTTTACAGTTTAGGACTATAGTTTTGGACTATTTTGTCTATTAGATTTTCACTGACAGCTCAAGTTTAGCCTTGTGTTAGCCAAGCTGTCTACGTTTAGATGTCTGTTAGTCGTCTTTTAAACACAAAATTGTTTGCTGGGAAGGCAACTGACACAAAATAAAACAGGAACAATAGTCTGAATGATCTAATGAGACCCTTAGTCAGAGTTTATTTTAGTGTGTGGCTGACTGTAACAGCATCATTATGAAGAGGAAATGATTAGATTGCAGTTGTTTTTGAATACTTGACATCTGAGAATAAATGATTCTTTCACAGTTTTTGAGCACTTAATTGTGGCATAGATTTAACATGGTGCTGGAAACATTCTTTAGAATATTAGATTCATATTGTTTGCTGCACATCCATAAATCAACAAAAAAAATATTCTACTGTTCAAACAAAAAGATGCTAATAGATTTAGATCTGGGCCCCAATGTATAAAACTTCTCAATAATGCTCTTAAAATTGGTGATTAGTGAACAAATCTTGGTAAAAACTTTTCTAGGAGCAACTTTGAGTAAACCCATGAGCCCATATTCACAATTTTTTGTTTTAGTTTACCACTAAGAATTCTACTAGCAGTAACAGTTTTTAGCTATCTAAATATATGAATATATATATATATATATATATATATATATATATATATATATATATATATATATATATATATATATACGGCTTTTTTACGGCTTAGTCCTTTTATTAGTCTGGAGTTGCCACAACGGAATGAACTGCCAACTTTTAAGTAGGCAGGTTAGATTAATTAGGCAAGTTATTGTATATCGATGGTTTGATCTGTAGACTATCAAAAAAAAAAAAAAGCTTAAAGGGCCTAATATTTTCGACCCTAAAATTGTTTTTGAAAAATACAAAAATGCTTTTATTAAAGCCAAAATCAAACAAATCAGACTTTCTCCAGATGAAACAATATTATATATTATAAATGTGTGTGTGTGTGTGTGATTATATATATATATATATATATATATATATATATCCATTCCTGTTTTGCGGTGAACATATATTTTAAATTTTATTTTATATATTTACTTTTTTGGTGTGAACATGGCTTGACAAGTTTCTTCCATGAAGCATTCTTTCCTGTGTTTAAACGTGGAGCAAGCAGACGTTTTACAGAGCTGGCTGTGTCTGAAACTTCTATTTATGGGGCAGAACGTGTGTGTGAAAATAAGTCACTAGATGGCGATATTGTATCATTATGTTTTTGAGGTAACGTTAGTGTTGTTACTTGCCATATCGCCCGCATACACTTCCTGGACGCTGCTGAGGAACCGCTTTGTCATCGGAATCTTGCACATAATAAGGTGCTAACTAACAAGCGGATATTTTCGGTTCTCGGTAAGCGTCTTCTACATTCTTTCTTCTCGTGACTTTTCAGTTTGAGATGGTTTTGTTGGTGTCCCCTTGTTATCCGCGTAAACTCTCAAAAGCAGACAAAGAAACGCCATGCTCACTGGTCGATAGTTTATTCTTCCGTATCAAATATAGACTCTACATTCACGTGTGCACTAGAATAGTTAAATTCTTAGACGGTTATTAACGTTATTTGCTGAAATGTAGTATTCATAAAGTTTAATCGTACATTAGCAAGACGAGTG